TAATACATTAATTCGATCGCTCAGTCCACGGCTGTTTGTGGGGACCCCGTTCTGCGCCATCGGCTGCCGCGTTTCGCCCACAAAATATAAAGTCAATTCACTTTACAGAATATTCTGTGAAGCGCTTTGAGACGTCTCAACAATGTGATAAGGCGCCATATCAAATGCAAGTAGTAGTATTATTATTATTTGTTATATTACCTCCTAGTGTTACTAGTCCGGAACCAGGGGAGGTTAGAAAACCATTCCTTAACACAGCGTGTGGTTGGAATGTGGCATTTTCTGATTCAAACTGCAGATGAATTCAACCCTTTTAAAGGGAATTAGGTAGATTTCCCTTTTAACCTGTTTGGTTTGAAGACTCTTAAATACAGTGATGGGTTTCCGCGTGTGTCAGACACCCGGCTGATCAAGAAAAAACTGTGAAAGTGACTGCTTAACTAAATGTAACTAGTGGAACCGTGCCGGTGACTTGCCAGGTGTGTGGGTGGTGGGAATCAGCCCGGTGTGAAGGAGGAAGGAAAGCCTGGGTTCCAACCAGCCCCAAGATTAAAGTCGCGATACCATTACAATGTCTAACAAGTCTTGTAACGAAATGAGGATAATTATTAGTAATTATTATTGAAATAAATGTTATCACGACTTTTTGGTCGCCCTGTACAGCCCCTACTGTGTGTCTGCGTGTGTGTGTGTGTATATACTGTCCTGTGTAAAGATTTAGTTAGTTAGTTAGTTAGTCAGTTAGTTAGGCAAAGTCAGACCAATGTAAGTGGGTTTTTTTTTATCTGTTTGTCTTCAGGAATTAACAGACTTGCAGCGAGACCCTCCGGCACAGTGCTCAGCTGGCCCTGCAGGGGAAGACAGTAAGTGATCAACAACAACAGCTGACATTTACACGGCACTTTTCACGGCGCTGGACAGTCGGGGATTTGAACCCGAGCTGGGGGTTGGGATCAGGAGGGCGGGGAGGGTGGGGGTAGGAAGGTGACCAAAGGCGCGGTCGAAGATGAGGTGAATGCCTGTGTGAGAGACATGTGCGAGAGAGAGGGCAAGACCTGTATGTGCGTGTGAGAGAGAGAGAGGTGTGTGTTCGAGAAGTAAAATAATTAATTGGTCTTGAAAATCTCTTCCAGTGTTTTATTGGCAAGCAACTATCATGGGACCTGTAAGTATCTCGTCACTGTACAAAATGTCTGCCTTCACCCTCTCTCCTTGTGATAATTTTTGTGATAATCTGCTGTTTTACATTTCATTCTAGAGCGACAGCCCTTACCAAGGTGGTGTTTTCTTTCTAACGATTCAGTTCCCCACAGATTATCCATTTAAACCACCAAAGGTAAGGCCTGTGTCACCTCACTGACCTCCTCTCTTTGTTACTGCTCAAAATATCCTCCTCACCGGTCTCCCCATCACCCCAGCCCTCGCCAGCCCCCACTGGCTCCCCATCACACACACTGACCCCCGTCTCCCCATCACCCCAACCCTCGCCAGCCCCCACTGGCTCCCCATCACACACACTAACCCCGACCCCCATCACCCCAGCCCTCGCCAGCCCCCACTGGCTCCCCATCACCCACTAAACCCCATCCCCCCATCACCCCAGCCCTCGCCAGCCTCCACTGGCTCCCTGTCACACACACTAACCCCCGTCCCCCCATCACCCCAGCCCTCGCCAGCCCCCACTGGCTCCCTGTACACACACTAACCCCCGTCCCCCCATCACTCCAGCCCTCGCCAGCCCCCACTGGCTCCCTATCACCGAACGGATCGATTCTCAAGATCCTCTCACACTTGTCTTCAAATCCCTTCGCGCCCCGACACCTCCCAACCTCTCTCACCCGCTCACCCCCCAACCCACTGCCTGTTGCCTATGGTCGACCGGCTCCGGCCTCCTGCTCGTCCCTCGTGCCTCCATCGGTGGCCTCGCTTTCAGCCACCATGCCCCAAACCTCTGGAACACTCTCCCTTCTATCCCTCATTTTTGCCCCTTCCTTCTCCATCCCCACCTGAAGACCTTCCTCTTCAACCAGTGCTGGCGGTCAACCCCCCCCCCCACTCCCCGGCTCAGCATCACACTCCGCCACTGTCAAGCACCCTGGGATGCTGCTCTGTGTGAGGGGGCGCTGAGTTGTTGTAGTTGTTGCTGTTACCTGGCGCTTTGGCATAAGGAGCTAACCCAACCTTTCGCCTCCTTTTATTCGCAGGTTGCCTTTACAACAAAGATATATCATCCAAATATAAATAGTAATGGCAGCATATGTCTGGATATTCTGCGGTCACAATGGTCTCCAGCTCTAACAATATCAAAAGGTAATTTTGTCATCTCGTCGAACACGGTATGTGCTGTAATAATTATAATAAAATCAGTATATTTCTCTGAAGCCCTTTGAGACCTCTGGAAGCGACTAAATCAAACACAAGGATTATTATTGTTATTAACATTAATAATCCTCGCATCTGATACAATGCCTTATCGCGTCATTGAGACGTCGCAAAGCGCTTCACAGGATATATTGTAAAGTGCAGTGACTGTGTAATTTGTGGGCGAAACGCTGCAGCCAACTGCGCACAGCAGCGTCCCCACAAACAGTCGTGGGTTGACTGTTTGCCTTTACGACAAAGACTTTTTTTAGGGATTATTACCCCCCACCCCCCGGAAGCGAAACGGCAATCAACTAACAATTGTTCTTGCTGACTGCTCAGCAAACAGAGGCGCAAAATTTACCGAGGGTTTAGCTCTGACCTGCCCCAGGAATCGAACCCGGGTCCTCTCGCTTGGGGTGTCGAGCGCTCTTAACCGCTGAGCTCCAGATGGGAAAGGCACTGTGCAAATGTAGATTGTATCGTAACGTGAGGAATGTGATATGTGGTTGGTAATTCGCCTCTCTGTCCCTCAGTACTCCTGTCTATTTGCTCGCTGCTGTGCGATCCAAACCCCGATGACCCTTTGGTGCCAGAGATTGCACACACCTACAAATCTGACAGGGAAAAGTAGGTATTCTTTCAGGCGGAGCTCCGTCGGTCAGTGTTGAGACCCACACACACACAGAGTCCCAGGATTTTATTCCCCATCTGCGTCGTCTGTCTGCCTAATGTCCTGGAGCTGAGAGAACAGTTTGGGTGACGTTCCCCCCCCCGCCCCCCCCGCCCCACCATCAGCGATCAGACCTTCAGCCTCTTTGCCTTCACCCTTTGGAACTCCGTCCCACGGTCCCTCCGCTTCGCTCCCTCGCCTCCCTCGCGGCATGCCTCAGGACCTTCCTCTTCGACCAACCATGCCTTCGGTCACCCTCCTACCCTCCCCGACCCTCCACCCCCTCCTGATCCCAACCCCCAGCTCGGGTCCAAACCCCTGACTGTCCCATCGCCTTGAGACGTCCTCCTGCCATGAAAGGCGCTTTACGTCGCCGAGTCGTCTCCGAGCGCCTCACAGAACATACTGTAAAGTGTAGTGACCGTGCATCTTGTGGTCGAAACGCAGAGCAGCCAATTGCGCACAGCAGCGTCCCCCACAAACAGCCGTGGACTGAGTGACCGTATTTTTTTAAAAAAAAATTTGGAGGGATTATTATTACCCCTGGAAAGTGATCTGATAACTGACTAACAACCGGGTTCCTACTTACTGCTAGGTAAACAAAGGCGTGTGGAGTAAGGAAACTTGCCTAAGGTTTCGCCCCACCTGGGAATCGAACCCAGGTCCTCTCGCTCGCGAGGCTAATGCGCTAACCACTGAGCTACAGGACTTCACAGTGGAAGGGGAGGGGGCAGAATACAAAAGAACAAATCAACCTCGTGTTTGGTAACGTAACACGTTCTCTCTCTCTCTTTCTTTCTCTCTTTCTCTCTCTCTATCTCTCTCTGTCTCTCTCTCTAGGTACAACAGACTGGCTAGAGAGTGGACACAAAAATACGCCATGTAAAAGGAAGGGGAGAGAGAAAAAAAAAAACGGGGGTTGGGGGGGGTGGGGGGGGGGAAAGACCCGAGGAAATTTGCCAGAGAGAGGAAGAAAAAAAAAATCTGCAATGCAAAATAAAAAAAAAAACTGTTTGCAGTTGTTTACTGAAACCACGTGCCATTTCCCAATGCATTTTATACTGGGCGGAGAACCTCCGAAGAAATCATTTGGTGTCTGCAAAAAAAAAAAAAGGAGATATCGTCTGTGTGTTGTGTTTTTTTTTTAAAAAAAACTGTGATACGTGTCATGTACGCGTGTGTGTGCGCGCGCGCGTGTGTACACACACGTGGAACATACCCGCGCGCGTGCGTGTGTGTGTGTTGTGTTTTTTTTTCTCTCTCTCCTGTTTTCCGAATTGCCAATTCCTGTGAGAATCTTTCTTGTGTCTCTTTTTTTTTTTCCCCCACCACCCACCCCCGTGTCGGTGACCAGAGAGAAAATTCTCGATCACGTACACCTGGTTTTACTTTTGCGTGTGGGGTGGGGTAAGGAAGATCTCATGACGTTAACGGTACAATGTGTGCGCGCGCGCGCGTGTGTGTGTTTCTCCCCTCTCTCTCCTCTCTATCCCTCTCTCTAGACTAGTAATCACGATTAGGAGCCTGATTTTTTTTAAAAAAAACCAATAAACTTATCGTAACACTGTTCTCTAATGGGCAAACGACCACATCCGAAGCAATACTGTAACCCCCGCCCGTGCGCGCGCGCATGTGTGTCCGTTTGCGCGCACGTGTGGGCGCGTATGCGTGTGCGCGCGCGCGCGGGAAGGAAGGAAAAAGCGAGACTCTTCGCTTTTTCTTTTTTTTAAAAAAAAAGGAAAAGTAAGCGAGACTGTGAACAGGTTTATTTTGCGAATGACAAGCAGCGGATTCTCGCAGCCCCCGATCTGGGTTTGCGGGTTCATTCCAAGCTTTGTGTTTCCAGGGCTGACTTCCAGCTTAATCAGGGCCAACGTCATCTATAATCGCCCCCCGCTTCACCCGCTCATTAAACAAGCGATCTGTGTCCTGACACTCCTGCCCTCCAACCAGTGCCCTCTGCCCTACATTAACTCCCCCCCCCAAATAAGCCCTCTTAGATAATAATAATCCTTGCGTTTGATACAGCGCCCGATCACGTCGTCGAGACGCCTCGAAGCGCTTCACGGGATACACTGTAAAGTGAATTGACTGTATATTTTGGGAGTGAAACTCGACTGCCAAATGGCCCGCAGCGGAGTCCCACAAACAGTCGTGGGATTGAGTGACTGAATTATTTTTTGAAGGGATTTTTAACCCCCCCCCTCCCCGGAAAGAGATCCGCCAATCGACTAACAATTGGGACCTACTTACTGCTGAGTAAAAGGCGTGTGGGGTAAGGAAACTTGCCTAAGGTTTCGCCCCGTTAAGGCGAGTCACCCGGTTATCGACGGTGGCGATACTATTCTGACTAGACTAGGTTTAGAAGCCCAGCCCCTCGTCACCGTTTGCCTCCTGAATAAGTCTGGCTTCACAGCGATCTCAGATAAGCGATCAAACGCGGTTATACCGCGTGCGGTTCAGGACTCCGGTGGCGCTGTCGTGAGCTACTCCGCAGCACCGATATGTCCTTTTAATTGTTGTAGTAATAATAATAATAATAATCCTCGCATTTGATGCAGCGCCTTATCATGTCGGCCAGACGCCTCAAAGCGCTTCACGGAATGTACTGTAATGTGCGTTGACTGTGTATTTTGTGGGTGAAACGCGGCAGCCAATTGCGCACAGCAGCGTCCCCGTCCCCCCCCCACAAACAGCCGTGGATTGAGCGACCGAGCCATTATATTTTTTTTACTCCGCGCCAATCAACTTAACAACTTCTCTCCCCTCCCAGACAAACAAAAAAAGAGCTGGAAGCGGAGCGAGAGGGGGGGTTGTGTGCTGTCTCCGTGTCCATTTTACACTGTATTCCAAATGCCTTTTTTTTTTGTTAAGATCGATGCGTTTAAGGAGACGCTGTGTGTCCTGTGTTTCTACCTTTGCTTGTGTATCGGGGCACATCTGCGTGTGTCTGCGTCTGTGCGTTGGTGTCCGTGTGGGTTGACGTGTGAGTGACAGCGAGAGAGAGAGGGGGCTGTTCACCACGTATGACCGTGTAGAGATGCTTCCCTTTGGCTGCCCCTTTAAACTGCATTACTATGTTACCTGACAGCATTTTATTCTGCACAAGCGTCTGGTCTGGTTCAGCACTCGCCTCTGAGGCCAGAAGGTTGTTGATTCACGTCTGCACCCGGACTTGAGCTCACAACCTACGCCGACATTCCTGGGCAGACGTGGGGGAGCGCTGCATCTTCAAAAGCGGTGTCGTGCTTCGGACGAGATGCTAAACCGAGATCCCGTCTGACTGTGCTGAGGCTTTAGGCGGATGTTAAAGGTTTCCCGGTTGGAATTTCTCTCTCCAATGTTAGCCTACAATTTGTAGAGTCCCGGAGCTCAGTGGTTAGAGCCCTCGCCTCGCAAGCGAGCGTTCCCTCGCTCCACGCACACGCCTCTACCCAGCAGTAAGTCGGAACGTGGTTGTTAAGTCGATTGGCGGATCACTTTTACTGGGGTAATAATCCTTTTATAGCAAAAGATGCGGTCGCTCAATCCACGACACTCCTGTCCGGGACGCTGCCGTGCGCAATTGGCTGCCGCGTTTCGCCCGCAAACTAAAGCCAATCGATTCGCTTTACCGCGGACCCTGTCGAGCGCTTTTTGAGGCGTCTCCCGAGGATGTGGTTCGGGCGCCGGGTCAAGCGCAAGGACGGTCGTTGCAATTCGGATGTGTGGCTGCATCTCCACCTCAACTCGTTGGGTCGAAGCGCTCTTGAGATCTTGTGTAGCATAACGCGAGTAGTTTTATTTGTACCGCAGAGTTGTTAAGGCCGCTCCGGTAGAATGTGATGTGAATCCTGGAATATGTGAACCGAACTGCCCGTTCGAACCCCCGTATTAAAGAGCCTCTGTGGGTCTGAGCTCCGTAAAATGCCGGGCTGATGCTCGAAGCCGATTAGCGTCCGTATATCAGCCTTGATGTGTCTCTTGGTATCAGTGACTTGTTAGATTTAGCTTCTCTCTGTGTGTGCAGACCTGACCCCCCCCCCCCCCCCGCTCTCTTCCGCCCCGGTCGCGTGAACAGGGCAGCTCTGATCTTCGAACGGCTGGTACGCGGACTGAGAGAAACGGCCGGAGATGAGCGTCCGCGCGCGCTCGCCCGCGCGCCCTGCTGTAGTTTTTTTTTTAACCGGAGAGGAGCCAGCGCCGGGCGAACTCCGAAGTAAGGAAGTAAATAAAGGCAATGTAAACGACTCCGAATGAGTGTTGCGTCTCTGTGCTGTCGGGAATACCACCGAGCGCTGCGTCACGCCCCAGCCTGGAGTTGGGGTGGGGGGGTGGGGGCGCGTGTGGTCTTCTTGAAGCCGAACTGGCTCCAAAACGACATGTTGGGCAACGTAATGTGGGAATCGACCCCCACCCGTCCCCCCCTCCCTCCGTGACGGTCTCGAGCCCCCGGTTCCTGAGCCGGGAGGGGCCGCGGTGTCCCGGGGCACTCGCTGCTGATGGCAGCACAGCCCGGCCCGGCTCATGGGCAGGACCTGGAAGGGCCGACCAGTCACTGGGGCCGGGAATCCTCCCCCTCAGCTCCGTTACCCCACAGCCAAAGCCCCAAATAACTAACGGGGAGGGGGGTCCGAGCCGGACAAGCAGCGGGAAAGCTCGGCCAGACAGCGACATCAATGGCTGAGCTGTGTGTGGGTTTAGATGGTCAGACTCCAGCAGTTACCCCAACGCACACTCTGTGGGGTACATGGAATTCTCGGTTGGGTTTGGAGACTCTTAAGCAATGGCGATGGGTTTCCGTGTAGTTGCCGGAGGGCTCCTGCAGGTGGCGCTGTGTGTGTGTGTGTGTGTGTGTGTGTGTGTGTAGTTGCCGGAGGGCTCCTGCAGGTGGCGCTGTGTGTGTGTGTGTGTGTGTGTAGTTGCCGGAGGGCTCCTGCAGGTGGCGCTGTGGTCGGAGCCGCATTCATTTGCAGGCGGCCCGCGGCCAAGATGGCGGCGGAGCTTCACTGAGGTGGTTTTCTCGGGTGACGGCGGCGGCTCTGAGCGGGTGAGTGAGTGAGAGAGAGAGAGGGAGAGAGAGAGGGGGTCCGGGTCCCTGTGTCACTAACACCTCCCCCCTCCCCCCCTCCCCGGGGCCTGTCTCCCCCCCCGGGGGGAGGGGGTCTCCTCGTACCCGCGAGGCCTCGCAAGGCCGCAAAGCCTCGGGCTCGAGTAGCGCGGGCGGGAGCCGCGCCCACTGAGCAAAAGGGGGGAGTGGGAGTGGGAGGGGAGAGGGGGGAGGGGGAGGGGCTTCTCCTGATCAATAATAACGAATGATATTAACAATAATAAGGTTTATCAATGAGCTTTTGGGGTCCCCGGAGCCTCGGGAACGCCCTGACACTAAATGCCTTCTGTTGCTGTTGTTGTCGCTGTTGTTGTTGTTGCTGTTGTCGCTGTTGTTGCTGTTGTTGTTGTCGCTGTTGTTGTTGTCGCTGTTGTCGCTGTTGTTGTCGCTGTTGTTGTTGTTGTTGTCACTGTTGTCGCTGTTGTTGCTGTTGTTGTCGCTGCTGTTGTCGTTGTTGTTGTTGCTGATAATCGACCCTCTGTCCGTCTGCGACCTCCGCCTCCTCGCTCGTCCCCCTCGACCTCGCTGCTGCCTTCGACCCCGTCGCCGCCCAGCGCCCTATTCCCCCCCCTCCCCCCCCCCACCCACCCCCTCCCCTCCCCTCCCCTCGACCTCCGCGGCTCTGCCCTCGGCCGGTTCCGCTCCCGCCTCTCGCCACCGCCTCCGCTTCATCTCCACCGCCGGCCTCACCTCCCTCCGGCCCCCGGCACCCTCTCGTGCGGCGTTCCTCAGGGCTCTGCCCTCGGTTCCCCTCCCCTTCAGTATCTACACGCGCCCCCCGCGGTGGCATCGTCCGCAGACACGGGGTCAACTCCTACCTCTCTGCCTCCGCCCTCGACTCCAGGACCCACTGCTGTGCTGACAGAGTGTCCGTCAGACATCAAGTCCTGGATGAGAGAGAACTTTCTACAGTTGAACGTCAACAAGACCGAGGCTCTGATTCGCTCCCGTCACCTCCTCACCTCAGGCGCTGACGGCATCACCATCCATGGTCGCCCACTCCACCTCGCTGAGCCAGTCTGGAACCTCGGGGGTCTTGTTTGACCCCCAACTATCCTTTCTACCCCACATCTGCGCCATGACCCGCTCTGCCTTCCCCCCCCCCACCTCCGCCTTCGTCTCCCGGCTCCGCCACTATCTCGCACCGCAGGCCCCCGAGACCCTCGTACGCTCCTTCATTACGTGGAGGCGTTGAGAGGTTACATCGTTGAGACGTCTCGAAGTGCTTCACGGGATGCACTGTAAAGTGGTGGGGAATTAAGAAATTTTCCGCAATTTTCCGCAAATTAAAAAGACGGCGCGGGCTAAAACCGGGTGGAATTTGGGGCCATGGGGGGGCAGGTGGTGCGATTTTTAATTTGACGTCCGGAACGGAAAGCGTTAGGAGAGAGAGAGAGAGAGAGAGAGAGCGGCGAGAAGGAGGCGGAACCCGGTGCGAAGGAATTCGGAAGTTCCCAATCCCAAAGGAATCAATCTCTTCCCTCCCGCGCTGTCCTTTTCGCTCACACAATTTTTTTTTTTTTTGCTGCACAGCGGGGAAATCAAGACTGTCCTGTCGGTTTTTTTGTGAATGAATGAAGGAAGGGGTCACGACGCTGTTATGGCTTCTCGATGAGGGTTTCAAATGTAATGAATGCACTGATCAATGAGGATGTAATTAAAGAATTTAAAGAGTTTCCCCCGGCAGATGCGTCGGTGACAAGCAAATTCGACTGTAGGTTTCGAAAGGGAATTGGATAGGTATTCGAAGAGGAAAATACTGGGGTAAGAGCGGGGGAGTGGGACTAGTTGGGGTTAGAACGGGGGAGTGGGATTAGTTGGGGTAAGAGCGGGGGAGTGGGGACTAGTTGAGGTAAGAGCGGGGGAGTGGGGACTAGTTGGGGTAAGAGCGGGGAGTGGACTAGTTGGGGTAGGCGGGGGAGTGGGACTAGTTGGGGTAAGAGCGGGGGAGTGGGACTAGTTGGGGTAAGAGCGGGGGAGTGGGACTAGTTGGGGTAAGAGCGGGGGAGTGGGACTAGTTGGGGTAAGGGCGGGGGAGTGGGGACTAGTTGGGGTAAGAGCGGGGAGTGGGACTAGTTGGGGTAAGAGCGGGGGAGTGGGACTAGTTGGGGTAAGAGCGGGGGAGTGGGACTAGTTGGGGTAAGAGCGGGGGAGTGGGACTAGTTGGGGTAAGAGCGGGGGAGTGGACTAGTTGGGTAAGAGGGGAGTGGGACTATATGGGGTAAGAGCGGGGGAGTGGGGACTAGTTGGGGTAAGAGCGGGGGAGTGGGACTAGTTGGGGTAAGAGCGGGGGAGTGGGGACTAGTTGGGGTAAGAGCGGGGGAGTGGGACTAGTTGGGGTAAGAGTGGGGGAGTGGGGACTAGTTGGGGTAAGAGCGGGGGAGTGGGGACTAGTTGGGGTAAGAGCGGGGGAGTGGGACTAGTTGGCAGCTCTTCCAAAGAGCCGGCACAGGCCCGATGGGCCGAATGGCCTCCCTCTGTGCTGTAAAATTCTACCACTTCTAACACACGAGCGGCACTGACACGTCCCGGGAGTCCCCACGCGTCTGGGGCGGAAATGCGCGCCCTCTCCCCGGAGGGAACCCGCGCATCGCGGAGCGAACGAGAGAAGCGAAACCGGAGAGGAACCTGATCGCGGGTAACTCCATTTACTTATACGGCGCACCGCGCGTTTGCAATCCGGCTCGAGACGCAGTCAGGAACAACAGCAACAGTCCACAGCTTGATACAGAGCCTGGATCCACTGGTAGCATTTGTGACGTGCGGGGGTTCGAGCCCTCGCCTCGCAAGCGAGAGGACCCGGGTTCGATTCCCAGGGACGGCGAAACCTTAGGCAAGTTTCCTTACTCCACACACACGCACACACACACGCACACACGCCTGTGCTTACCGAGCTTTACCTTTTCCGGGGGTGATAAATCTCTCGGACTGGGTCGCTGGGGCGCAATTGTCTGCCGCGTCTTTCCCCAATACACGGTCGCTACTGCACGTTGCACTATTTTCCGCGAAGCGCTTTGAGTGAGACGAGGCTCTACATCAAAGGCAGAATATATTGTGAAGTGCATTGGACTGCGTATCGCGTGGGGCGAAACGCGGCAGCCAACCCGCGCGCACAGCGGCGTCCCCCGCCAACAGCCGTGGAGTGGGCGTTAGTTAATTTATTGGTCGGAGGGATTATTACCCCCAGGGAAAGCGATCCGCCAATCGACTAACTCCCGAGTTCCTACTTAATGCTTCGTAAACAGAGGCGCGCGCGCGTGTGTGTGTGTGGAGTAAGGAAACTTGCCAAAGATTTCGCCCTGCCCGCCCGCCCGGGAATCGAACCCGGGGCCCTCTCGCCTGCGAGGCGAGCGCTCTAACCACCGAGCTACAGATTTTGCTGGTCCGTGAAGGGGAAAACCTCCTGCGTCAGCTTTGTAACGAAACAAGGCATCTGCTTCTTGCCTCCAATCTAAGAACAGGAGAGGACAGCATAAGGATCCGCCAGACGAAAGGAGACCCGAGATCCGTCCAGTTCGCCTTCCGCCATCCTTGCCCAAGTCACGTCCCAAACAACAACAACAACAACAACAACCGGAGGCAAGCGAGGGAGCGAGGCGAAGGGAATGTGGGATGGAGTTCCAAATATAGAGGCCTTATCACGGTCTGTTTCCCGAGGGAGCCGGTTGCAATACGTTGGCTCCTCGCTCTCACCTCTCTCCCCCTGGACAAGAAACGTGTGGCCACCATGAAGTTGACCCGCGTCATTATCCTCAGCAGCTCCCAGTGTCTCTGCTCTCCCTCCTCCAGCAAGTCGCACAGAGACTGGAAGAAAAATGACCCCGATGCGGTCAGGAACGCTGAGTAATCTGCGGGAGGGAAGAGACACGAGTTTAACTGTGGAGTTCCTCAACTCACACACACACACACACACACACACACACAGCGCGCACGCGTCTCTGTTCATCCAGCAGTCAGTAGATACCCGGTTGTTAGTCGATTGGCGGATCGCTTTTCCGAGTATTCCAGAGATGGAATGGACTGCAAACTCTCTCCCTGGAGGAACCTGTTTACCCAATTCCGGAGAGTATTAGGCGCAGGTTGGCGAGAGCCAAGGCTTGAGGGGGAGCCCCAGAGTGTGCGTTGGGGTAACTGCTGGAGTCTAACCATCTAAACCCACACACAGCTCCGGCCATTGATGTCCCTGTCTGGCCGAGCTTTCCCCCTCCTTGTCCGGCTCGGACCCCCCTCCCCGTTAGTTAGGGCTTTGGCTGTGGGGTTACCAGGAGCCGAGGGGGAGCATTCCCGGCCCCCAGTGACTGGTCGGCCCTTCCAGGTCCTGCCCATGAGCCGGGCCGGGCTGTGCTGCCATCAGCAGCGAGTGCCCTGGGACACTGCACAGAGATAGGGCGGTGCAAGGTCATGATGTGCGAGCGAGGATCTTGATTTAAATCCTCTGGGGATTCAGTGGGACTATAGTGTAACAGTAATAACAAGCCTCGCATTTGATTCCAGCGCCTTATCACGTCTTCGAGACGACTCAAAGTGCTTCACAGGATACACTGCAAAGTGTAGTGACTATATTTTGTGGGCGAAACACGGCAGCCAATGGGATTCCCCACAAACAGCGATGGATTGAGTGATCCAATTTTTTTTTAAGGCATTCTTACCCCCGGAACGGCGATCCCTCTGATCGACTAATAACCGGGTTCCTAACCACTAAAGCCACAGGACCTTAAAATAAATGAAAGTACGTCCGACACTGGGCTGTTGCAAAAGCAGTAGCGAAGCCATCATTTCAGACAGTGATAAGACACAGACACGGTAATTTTATACAGTCTTTTAAAAGCTCTTGAAACAAATCCGAATCGAGAAAGAGGGAGAACTTGCCCGACGTTTCACCCTGACCTGATTCCTGCCCGGGAATCGAACCCGGGGTCCTCTCTCGCTTGCGAGGGGAGAGCTCTAACCACCGAGCTACAGGGAAACTCCACTCACCCGAAGTGGTAGAGAAGTGCACAGCGGTTGCTTCTGGTATGGCCTGGTAATGGGAGAAAGCTTCTTCCTGTGGGAGAGCGCTTTCCATCTCCACCATATGGTCAGTCTCCAGGGTTACCCCAGGGTCCAGTTGGTCTCCCCGGCAGGCCTGAGGGAGAGAGAGAACGAGAGAGAGAGAGAGAGAGAGGGAGAGGGAGAGGGGGGGGCGGGATGGGGAGACACGGGTTCAGTCAGTCAGTGGCTTTGCCCCTCATTACCTCTGCGACCTGCTCACCCCATGTCAACCTCTCCGCTCCCTCCGCTCAGTGGGCTCCGGCCTGCTCCACGTCCCCAGCCCGGCCCACCCCCCATCCCCCCGCCCGCCCGCTATCAGCGGTCAGGCCTTCAACATCACCGGCCCCCACTTTTTGGAACTCCATCCCACAGTCCCTCCACCTCGCCCCCTCCCTCGCCTCCTTCAAGGCCCGTCTCAAGACCCTCCTTTTCGACCAACCGCACCTTCGGTCACCCTCCTACCCCCCACCCGCCCGCCCGCCCGCCAGAGGAAACAGTTGCACCCTTATCTACTCTTATAGTTATAATAATAATAATCCTTGCATTTGATATAGCGCTTTTCACGTCTTCTCGACGTCTCAAAGCGCTTCACAGAATAGACTGTAAAGTGAATTGACCGTATATTTGTGGGCGAAACGCGGCAGCTAATTGCGCACAGCAATGTCCCACAAACAGTCGTGGATTGAAAATGACCAATTTATCATTGCTTTGTTTTGGAGGGATATTATTAGGCTCTGTGTGGAGTAAGGAAACTTGCCCAAGGTTTCTCCCTCTGCCTGGAATTGAACTCAGGTCTCTCACTTGCAAAGCGAGTGCTCTAACCACTGAGCTACAGGACTCGACTTATTTACTTGGATGAAGAAGATCTTGGCTTTGCCGGCCAAGCTGGGGCTGTTCTGGGCTGTGAACAGGGAGTAGATGTGGCGGAGTGGGACCGGCTGACTGTCTGCCCCATATATCACACCGTCTTCTCCGTGGCTGGAAATAATGGAGATGAAACAGGCTCCGTGCTGCCTCTGGCTTTCTGTGGGAAAAGGGGAACCAGCTCATCGCGGGGCCAAACCCATTACCCCCCCAGCCCCCCCAACTCCAGCCCACCCGGCTCCAAACCCCCAGACCCCAGCCCCCAACCCACAGCCCTCACGCCCAGCTCCAAACCCCCAAACCCAAACCCAATCCCCCACTCCAGCTCTCAACACAGCCCCCAACCCCCAACCCTGGGGGCTTTGAGTTCAGTCTAGGCTGAAACACAGGTGCATGAAACATTAGGACTATGAACTTAAAGAGAGGGAAGTTTCTCCCCGTGTTTAGGCAAACAAACTCCCCCAAATAAAACTGGTTATTCACCAAGTAGCTGTTTGGAGGACTTTGCAGTATGCAAATTGGCTGCCACGTTCACCTGCAATATACACAGTCGCCCTTCACAGCAATTCGCAGTGAAACACCTCGAGACGATTCAGCATTATTGTTAATAATAGTAATTAAAAGCCCGGTATCAATGTAATAATCCTTGCATTTGAATGCAGCGCCTTATCACCTCGTCGTTGAGACGTCTCAAAGCGCTTCACAGGATACACTGTGCAGTGAATTATGCTGTAGAGTGAACTGAATGTGCACTTGGTGGGCGAAACGAATCAAAGAGAGGACTACTCTTACCTCTCTTGTACTCCTGTAGGATCTCCCGGGCTGTGTAGTCGATCTTTAGCCTTACCTCAAAGCCCAGGTTGGACAGCACGTTGTGCAGACGTTTTGTGTCTATCGCAGCAAAAGGTCTTCTGCGTAAGGGGAATTGACCGTGGAATTGTTGCACCGTGATGATCAGTACCCGGGGTTTCCGGGGACACCCTGAATCGGGCGAGATTTCCGTCATGTTTTGCTCAGCGAAAGAATTCTCCAAATAACTAACAAGTGGCTACAAGCGTGGCAGCCGGAGCCTGACAGACACCGAATGAGCATTTGGTTAAGACTATGATCGGACACACCTCAAATGAGTCACGTTTCCAAACAGAAATCAATATTCCAGTAATCAAGGCTTGTGTCCCAACCTCCGGGAACCTCACCCTTTCACCCTCCGTGGATTTTAAAAGAGCAATTTCTCCCGGGATGAGAGGAATAATAATATTCCTTTCACAGCCACTACGCCCCGAGGCTCTGGAACTCCCTTCCTCACTCCCTTCGTCTCGCTCCCTCCCTTCCCATTTTCAGGTCTCCGCTGAAGACCTTTCTTTACGACCGCACCTTTGGTCACCTTCCCCACCCCCTGGCTTCCCCCCTCCCCCTGGGCTCGGTCCCGGGATCCGTTACTGTAAAGCGCTCTGAGACGCCGTCCGGCGTGGAGGGCGCTACATAAATCCAAGTTGTTGTTGTTGAGTAACAAGCGGGGTTCCTATTTACTGCTGGTAAACAGAGGCGTGCGGAGTAAGTGATCCAACCGGTTTGCCTTCCACTATCCTGTCGCTACATCCCAAACTATATCCTGAGATGTTATTTCCTACAAGAATATAGGAAGGTTTTGTGCTTCCAAACATGCCAGAGCTTCTTGGCTGGGTGTAGTTTGCCGGTTATTTCATACTCAACCACGAAGAGAGTTCAGAGTTTGAATAAACACACTGTGAACTCCAGAATAAGAGCTCCAGATTAATATATAATAATCCTTGCAGTCGAGATAGAGCCTGATCACGTCGTTGAGACGTCTCCAAGCGCTTCATGGGATACGCTGCAAAGTGTAGTGACTTGTGCGTTTTGTGGGCGAAACAACGATGTCCCACAGACAGTCGTAGATTGAGTGATTTTCAGACGGACGCCTTTCATGTCCTCCTGACGGGAAAGGCGCTGCGCAAAAGTAATTGGTTGTTCTCGTAATTACGTGTTTTAGGGGATTATTACCCCCGTAAAAGCGATCCGCCAATCAACTAACAACCGGGTTCTTGCTTACCGCTGGCTGGTAAACGGGAGCGGGTGTGGAGTAAGGAAACTTACCCGAGGATTGTATATTTTAAGACAGAAACGGGAACAAGACACGGAACACAAAGTGCCGTGCTGGACACTGGCTCTGTTTAACAAGCGGCTTCGAAAGCTTTCCATTGCTTCCCACTACATTGCTGTCTGTGTTCGATCAGATAACATGAATTAAGCAATTACATTACAAGCGAGTAAACAGTCAGTGTGACCTGCGCTGCGGGGCATAGATTAACGTCACATCGTAAAGCAAAGGATGTGGCCCGAGACAGGCTCTTTAAAGTCACCTCTTGCGGTTAATACTATTACTAATCCTTGTGTTTGATACGGGCGCCTTATCACGTAGTTGAGATGTCTCAAAGCGCTTCGCAGAATATACTGTGAAGTGCAGTGGCTGTGTATTTTGTGGGCAGTGTCACCCACAACCAGTCGTGGATTGATTGACAAAAGTTATTTCTTTTTCGAAGGGATTATTACCCCCGGAAAAGCGATCCGCCAATCGACTAACACCCGGGTTCCTACTTACTGCTGGTAAACAGAGGCGCGTGTGCGTGTGTGTGGAGTAAGGAAACTTGCCAAAGATTTCGCCCTGCCCGCCTGCCCGGGAATCAAACCGAGGATTTCCCTCAGGGAAGCTTTGCTGAGGTCCCTGGGTTTGGAGAGTTGTTGGGTACATATATATTGGTTAACAGAGAGGGAAGGAAGAGCAATGTTAAGGATTTTTGGAGTCCTCGCCTCGCAATCGAGAGGACCTGGGTTCGATTCCCTGATGGGGCGAAACTTTGAGCAAGTTTCCTCACTCCACACACACTCCTGTTTCCCAGCGGTAAGTGGGAACCCGGTTCTTAGTCGATTGGCGGATCGCTTTTCCGGGGGCTAATAATCCCTCCCACCCAAAAAAATAAATAAAAACGTGGTCACTCGATCTACCACTGTTTGTGGGACACTGCTGTGCGCAATTGGCTGCCCTGAGGGTGAGAAGCACATAATGCTCATAGTCTGAAGGACAGAGATTCAGTTTCGTAAAGCTCACAAGTCAAGGCTACAATAATTCAGAACCATCCATCAAGCCATCTGTGGTGGTAGTGTAGATCAGTGGGAGCTCCGTGGATCTTACAATCCTCTGAGTTTTATAATAATAATAATAATAATCCTTGCATTTGATATAGAGACCAAATAATTATTTCAAAAACATTACTTGAAGGGACTATTGCCCCCGGAAAGCGATCTGCCAATCAACTAACAACCGGGTTCCTACTGACTGCTGGTAAACAGAGGCGCGTGTGTGTGTGTGTGTGTGCGTGTGTGTGTGTGAGTAAGGAAACTTGCCTAAGGTTTCGCCCTCCCTGGGAATCGAACCCAGGTCCTCTCGCTTGCGAGGGCTCTAACCGATGAGCTACGGGACTCCACAACCCTAACCGGATGCCACTTGCTCACTCAGCAACGAGAGCAAGTCCTTGCTCTCCTCTTGAAGTAAATGTTCCGGTCGTGCGAGGAATTCTTGGTGATGTTTGGGCCATTGCGCAATTCTGCTGAAACCTAAGAGATCTTTATCCCCAAAACGTCTTAATCCGAAGGCCAGAGAGACAATTAATTATGTTTGGTCTGAACATCTGGCTCTACGCTTGACAAGGACATTCCAAATGCAGGCGCCATGTGGGATGGTGAAACTTATGAGTTCATAATGTCATAACTGACATTATGAGCTGAGAATTATGCAAGACTTTGGTGGGACTTGGACACGAGTGAGACTTGCCCCTTCACAGACGTTTGCAATGGGATTTTTGCAACCTGTTTGCGGAAGCCTTACACCCCTGTGGCTCAGTGGTTCGATCACTCGCCTCGCGAGCGAGAGGACCCGGGCTCAATTCCCGGGCGGGTCAGGTCAGGGCGAAACTTCAGGAAAGTTTCCTTACTCCCCACACGCAGACAGACACACACACACACACACACACACACACAGACGCGCCTCTGTTTGCTCAGCAGTAAGTAGGAATGTTAGTCGATCGGTGGATCGCTTTTCTGGGGCATTAATCCCACCAAAATAAATGAGTAAATAATTTGTTCGCTGTTTGTGGGGACGCTGCTGTGCGCAATCGGCTTCCGAGTTTCGCTCACAAAGTGCACAGTCACTTGATTTTACAGCGTATCCTGCGAAGCGCTTTGAGGCTGTGCAGCCATCTCAAAAAAAAGCAAGGACTACGATTACCATTACTAAATTCTGGTTGCTCTGAAACACTAATCGAGTCAATCTAGACACACGTGGAATTTCACCACAACAGCCGTCAAGACAAATTATTGACCGTTCCCGAAATTCAGGGCTAACTGTCAACGAGATTTGTATTGACCTTCTCTCTGTCCCTTCACTCCAACCTCCATCCATAAATTACGAGTTCCCTTATCCACGTCCTTGAGAGAAGGTGTATATAGAGACCGAGCAGAGACCGAGTAGACACAGAACCACGAGGAGACACTAAAGATGATCCCAGCCACTTTCAAACTCTGTGCAGCCATCTCCTACCAACACTGCCGGACTTTGTCAGGTAACTAACACCGTGTCTAAACCTACTCAGTGGGTTGTTGTCCAGCCTCAAGGTTTTAAAGTAGACGTGGAGTTCCCTATAGCTCGCATTGGTCATTCCACCCACGGCTGTTTGTGGAGAACGCTGCTGTGCGCAATCGGCTGCCGCGTCTCGCCCACGAAATACACAGTCGCTACGCTTCACAGTCTGTCCTGCGAAGCGCTTTGAGACGTCTCAAACACGCGATGAATCGCCTTATCGTCTTCGCCTCGGCCCCTTCGAGGTCCGTCTCAAAGCCCTCCTCTTCGACCGCGCCTTCAGCCACCCTCCTAACCCCACCCGCAGCCCCCCCACCCTCCCCCGCCCTCCACCCTCTCCTGATCCCAACCCCCAGCTCGGGTCCAAATCCCTGACTGTCCAGTCCAGCGCCTCCCGACATGAAAGCCGCTGTTGTGTTCATGTCATTTTCGTCGTCGTACCAAATGCAAAGGATTATTATTAATATTAATTATGGTACAGCACTGCCAGCTGTTTGAAGGCACGTCTCCCTCTCTCTCCCTCTCTCTAACGTGTCTCGTTGTCGTTGAAGGGGTGAGACACACAGCTGTCGCCGCTCTCGGCCATGAGCTGAACCTTCTGAGACTCCAGAGCCAGGGACCCAGCGGGTGGGTGAATCGGGTTCGCCGGAGGAGCTCCATGCTCAGTGAGTATCGCTCAACTCTCGCATACATTGAACGAAATAGAACATTCGGAGTTCCCTGCGGCTCAGGGGTTAGAGCCCTCTCGCCTCGCGAGCGAGAGAGGACCCGGGTTCGATTCCCGGGCGGGTCAGGTCAGGGCGAAATGTTGTCCAAGTTTCCTTACTCCACACACCTGTTTACCGAGTGGTACGTAGGAACTCGGATGTGAGTCGATTGACGGATCGCTTTCTGGGGGTAATAATCCCGTCCATAAATAAATAATAATTCGGTCACTCAATCCACGACTGTTTGTGGGGGACGCTGCTGTGCGCAATTGGCTGCCGCGTTTCGCCCACAAAATATACAGTCACTGCACTTTACAGTCTATTCTGTGAAGCGCTTTGAGACGTCTCGAAGACGTGATATCAAATGCAAAGATTATTATTATTATTATTATTACGATTGATTCTTCTGCTTTCTCTGGAATTCTCTGGGATTTCCCCGTGTAGGGGAGAGGCATGGAACGCTCAGTTGGGTTTGGAGACCCTTAAGCAACGCTGATGGGTTTCCGGCCGGGGGGGGGAAAAAAATACCTTGTGCCAACAATTCCGAGTCTTTCTTCCTTCCTTCCTCCCTTCCTCCGCAGGCAGCAGGCTCGAAGAGAAACTGTTCAGCGATGCTGAGATGGCTTACGTTAAACAGGGAGAAGATGCTTTGCAAAAGTCCCTCTGCATTTTACAGGATACCAATGGCTGGAAGTCTGAGATTGAATCCGTGAGTACATGGCCTCAACGCTTAAGGGGAAGAATAAAGGAGACACAGTCGATCAATTCTAATATATTTGGTCACACTTTTTTGATCGTAAGTCCTGTAGATCAATGGTTAGAGCTGGGATTTCGACCCGAGCTCGGGGTTGGGATCAGGAGGGCTGGAGGGCAGCGAGGGTGGGGGTAGGAGGATGACCGAAGGCTCGATCGAAGAGGAGGGTCTTGAGATTGCTGGGAGGGGGCGAGCTGGACGGACTGTGGGATGGAGTTCCAGAGGGTGGGGGCAGAGAGGCTGAAGGTCTAACCGCCGATGGTGGGGTGGGCAAGGCCGGGCGGGGGGGGGGGGGGACATGGAGCAGGCCGGAGCCCACTGAGCGGAGGGAGTGGACAGGTCAACATGGAGTTAGCAGGTCACAGAGGTAGGGAGGAGCAAGGCCATGGAGGGCTTTGTCAGCGAGGAGGAGGCTTTCGAACTCAATCCTCCGAGGGATGGGGTGGGGGGTGGAAGCCAGTGAAGCCAAGGAAACAAGAAAGTGACTTACATTCTCTCTAAATTTCACAGGCAAATGGTGATAAAGTGGCCAGTAAAATCCTTCCCGACCTGGGGAAAGTATTTAAGCTTGAGATTGTGTTGGATAATTCGTCGGACCTGCTGTACAGAGAGCTCTTCGACAAGATAGAACAAATGGGAGAGTGGAACCCGAATGTCAAGCAAGTCAAGGTAGGAGTGCTGCAGACCAGTGGTTAGAGCACTCGCCTCGTAAGCGAGAGAACACGGGTTTGATTCCCGGCAGGGTGAAACCTCAGGCGAGTTTCCGTACTCCGCACACACACACGCGCCTCTGTTATTCGATTAGCGGATCATTTTCCGGGGGTAATAATCCCCCCCAAAATATTAATTTTGCCTCTCAACCCACGGCTGTTTGAGGGGGACGTCGCTGTGCGCAATCGGCTGCCGCGTTTCGCCCACAAAACACGCAGCCGATTCCCTCGACAGCGTATCTATCCTGTGAAGCGCTTTGAGACGTCTCGAAGACGCGATAAGGCGCTGGGTCGAATGCAAGCGTGGCGACCGTTTATTTTGTGGGCGAAATCAGGGTCGGTTGGTGGCTCCTGACCCACTATCGTTCACGTGTGAATAGTGGTGACTATTATTGCTGGTGAAGGGTCTCGAGGTGTTTGATTTTGCTGTGAATGTTTCAGATACTGAAACGCATTGGCAACGAAACACTGGTGACTCACGAGATAGCGGCCGAGACTCCAGGCCACCTGGTGGGGCCACGGGACTTTGTGAGCGTGAGGTACTCCAAAAGGCGAGGCTCCACCTGCTTTCTGGCCGGGATGTCCACACACTGCGACATGATGCCCGAACAGAGAGGCGTTATCAGGTACAAAGCCTTCGTTTGGTACGTTCACGTATAGCTCAGCGGTTACAGCAAGCGGGAGGACCCGGGTTCGATTCCCGGGCAGGTCGAAAAAATCAGGTAAGTTTCCTCACTCCACCCACACACACACGCGTGCGCACACACACACACACACACACAGTAAGTAGGAACCCAAGTTGTTAGTCGATTGGCGGATCGCTTTCCGGGGAGTAATAAAAAAGAAAAAAAATAATTTGGTCGCTCAATCCACGGCTGTTTGTGGGGGACGCTGCTGTGCTGCCCTGCTTAATGGGGGGGGAGAGGGGGTGGGGGTGTATAAGTGCAAGTTGTTGTTGTTGTTTAGTCTCCAAGTGACAGGTGTACGTTGCCTCCCACCAGGGCAGAGAATGGACCCACTTGTATCGTCCTTCGTCCATCGGCAGATGATCCAAACAAGACCAAATTCACTTGGCTGTTGAGCATTGACCTAAAGGTGAGTCATCTGCTGGTGCAACTAACACCCTAACCCCTCCCCGGTGTTCATATGGACTCCATATCATTGGGCTCCAGCCTGGACCCAACCCGGGCCTTCAGCCTCTCTGCCCCCACCCTTTGGAACTCCAGCCCACAGTCCCTCCACCCCGCACCCCCCCTCGCCTCCTTAAAGACATGTCTCAAGACCCTCCTCTTCAACCATGACTTCGGTCACCCTCCTACCCCCAGCCTCACCGCCCTCCATCCCCTCCTGTTCCCAACCGCCAGCTCGGGGCCAAACCCCTGACCGTCCAGCGCCTTGGGACGTCCTCCTGACTTGCCTTTTCGCCCACAAAATACACGGTCGCTTCCGCTTGGCGGTAAAATCCTGCGAAGCTCTTTTGAGACGTCTCGAGCGCAAGGAATAGTGTTGTTACAATGACGATGTTGCTGCTGATCGAGTTGCTAATTGAAAAAGCGAAACTGTACCAATCATTGTGAATTATGTTTGCACACAGGGTTGGCTGCCAAAGTCTCTCATCAACCAGGTTCTCTCTCAGACACAAGCGGACTTTGCTGAGCACTTGCGTCACCGAGTCCAGTCCTACAGCCCGGTCCTCAGCTGCTGAAAGCATTGGCGTCTGACTTAAACCCTCCACCCACTCAAACCCCCTTTTTATACAATCTTATTTATTTTAATTCACCCTCTCGTGCGGCGTGAAAAGGCCACTCTGCAAACGCAAGTTGTTGCGGCGTGTTCTGTGAGACGTCTCGATGACGTAATAAGGCGCTATATCGAATGCAAGGCTATTAATATTATTATTATTATTATATTATGCCTAGAATGCCAACACTCCATCAGCTCTGCTGTGCGCAATCGGCTGCCGCGTTTCGCCCACAAAACACACAGTCAGTTCACTTTCCAGTGTATCCTGTGAAGCGCTTTGAGACGTCTCGAAAATGTGATAAGGCGCCGGGTCAAAGGCAAGGATTATTATTGTTGTTATCTCCCTGACGATATACACCCACAGGTCCATGTCTTCCCTGGTGACGGCCACACCAAGGTGAAGCGTAACAAATACGAGAAAAGCAAAAGATCCCGCGACCCATTCAGGGAAAAAAATATGATTACCTGGGGAAAATGCCAACCCGATTCCTGGAGGGAGTCAGCGAGCTGCGAGATGGAGGATGGAGACGTCAGGAGCAATGCTCAAAAGACGTCCAAACCCTCTCTCCCCGCAATAGACATCTCACGGCAGATCAGGCTCTCCTGTCGGTCGGTCGTCCTGGATCCTTTTTAACCTTAAGAAAAATCTGTCTCGATTTCGCTCGATCGATGCTCTCGATCAGACACTGCAACAGAAGTTTTGCAAAGAATCAAAACATTGAAGGAGCCTTTCACGTCGGGAGGACGTCCCAAGGCGCCGGACAGTCAGGGATTTGGATCCGAGCTGGGGGTTGGGATCAGGGAGAGGGCGGAGGGAGGGGAGGGTGGGGGTAGGAGGGTGACCGAAGCCAAGAGGAGGGTCTCGAGATGGGCCTTGAAGGAGGCGAGGGAGGGGGAGAGGCGGAGTGAGTGTGGGGAGTTGTAAAGGGTGGGGGCAGAGAGGCTGATGGTGGTGCGAGTCGGGCAGAGGACGTGAAGCAAACGTCAAACCACAATCGATGCTTTAATTTACTATAAACTAGTTTCTGTCCTGGTTACAAAACCGTAACCTCGGTCCATACTAATCTCCGAGCCTCATCTTTACACCCAAAATATCCGGCCGTGTTGTGCGGAATTAATATTGAACCCGTAGTCTGCGCGTCCCAGCGACTTAGCTATTTATTTATTGACTGAATGTATTTTCCGTTAAGTTGTGTATTTCGTCACGGCATTGTTTTATTTATTACTATTTATTACAATCAGTTTTAAGTCTGGAATTCCTGAAATCGTTTCTCTAACACATTTTCCCAAGCTGAACCTGGGCTGATCCGACTGCACAGCTCGAGGTAGAATATCAAATATCACTGGTTAATTAAATGGTCTCTCAGCCACGCACGTCTCTCTCGATAGTGCAATTTACTTCAACCAATATATTTCATCTAAGCAAAACCACCCGCGTTTCTGAAGGTCTCGCGGTTTGGAATCGTACGGCACCACATTATTCTTACAATAAAAGGTTCAGACACAAACGTGGGTCGAGTTATTTCTTTGGAGGCAAAGCGCCTCCAACCTTAGGCAAGTTTCCTTCCGCCACACACACACGCACACGCACACACTCACGCCTCTGTTTACCAGCAGTACTTAGGAACCCGGTTGTTAGTCGATTGGCGGATCGCTTTTTCTGGGGGTAATAATCCCTTCAAAAAAAATAATTTGGTCATTCAATCCACGACTGTTTGTGGGGACGTCGCTATGCGCAATTGGCTGCCGCGTTTCGCCCGGAAAATAGTCAATTCACTTTACAGTGTATCCCTTGAAGCACTTTGAGACGTCTCAAAGGATGATTAATATTATTATTATTATTATTGAACCCTCAAGAGTTCCTCTCAGAGTGAGTCCTGGCCAACAATCCCCTGGATTAATGAACTGATCACATCACGTGGTTGTGGGTCAATGTGTACGAATCGGTTCCTGCATTTTCCTTAAACAAATCATGACATCCGACAGCAAATTAGCCGTGAAGCACTTTGAGCTGATTCAATACCTGCCGCACGGGAAAGCAAGACTGCAGGAGGGTCGGCAGGAGGTGTATAGTGTGCAACATGGCAAGCGACTGCCAGGATGGTGGAAGGCAAACTAGATAAGACCTTGGTCTTCTTTTGACGAGCTTATGGTTGGAACTCCAAACAAGTCCAGCCCTTGTTGGCTCCCTTAAACGAGGCACCTTTTTATTAGTCACAAGAAAACCCACACATACGTCAATGATCAACAGCAACTTGCATTTACACAGGGACCCCTCGCGCAGGGTAGCGACCCAGAGCGCTCGACAGTGAGAGGGAGAGGTGACCATAGGCACGGTCAAAAAGGAAGGTCTTTTAGGTGCGATCTGAAGATGGGGAAGGAAGGGGAGAAGGCGGGGGGATACAGGGAGAGTTCCAGAGGTTTTTTTGGGGGGGTTTTAGGGGTCGTGGCCAAAGGTAGTGGAGCGGGGTAGGGGGCACAAGGAACAAGCAGGAGTTAAGGAGATAGAGCCAGCGGGAAGTGGATGGGGGGGGAATGAAGTGGATCAGAGAGGTAGGGAGGTGCCAGAGGTTGAAGGGCTCGTCTTATACACACGCGCGCACACAGGTGTAAAGCTTGTTCAAGCCCACACTTGATTTACGCAGATAGAAAACTCAAAAGACGTACACAAAAAAGAAATCCAGCTTTTATTACAGAATAACCACATCCAAATGCAAGCCTTCAGTCAGTCATGGCTGCCTTTCCACACGGGAGTCTGAGACAGACAGACAGACCTGCAGCGACATCCATGTTTCTGGGCACTTCACTGGGGGTGCAGTGCCAGGGTTGGGTTGGGGGTGGGGGAGCGAGGGGGGTTTAGCCTCACTCCTTGGCCTCCGAATCCCACCGCATCAGGGATCAGAATTCCCCCCACACGCACTCCCGGGTTGGGGTATTTGGTTGGAATTCTGTCGCCCGGATGTGTCTTGGCCAGCGGTGGATGAGATGGTAACTGGCTTGGCAGAGGTGGGGTGGGCCAATATGCAGTCAAGGCACTAAGGCCCTTTCCTTCAGCAAGCACATCCCACCAGCCCAGGCACCGAGGAATCCACTTCGTCAGAAGCACACGACACGTACAGCTAAATATCTAGCTCGTCGCAAGGAACACCGGGCACAGGAGCACTTGGGCTGAAGAAATGGTCGTCCTGATCTCACCCACTGAACTTATACGTGATACAACTTAAATCCTGCTTGAGATACGGACAGTGCGTTCAGTGGCGTCAGTAGGTGCAGTGCTGGTACCATTGGGGTTCACCCCCTGCACCGAGTAAACAGAAACTGTTCCGAGACTACATAATTACTGGGTTTATGAGTCTAAGAGATGTGCAATGGGCTCTGTGCTTCCATTGCATTGATGTCCATACTTGCGCTACGTTTTGAGACGGACGTCCCAGAGATTGTTTGTACAGGACGGAAGAGCATTACGGCTCCCATGGCGGACTGCGCCTCCCGTCTACCTCTCCTTCGGCGTGGTAAAGCACGTCTGCTAGTGTGTGCTCCACCACAGCGTACCAGCCCATGTCACTGATCTGCACAGAAGACACACACACACAACCAGAGAAAGTTAGTGGCCATGTTTCGGCCAAGGCTGGAACAAGAGAATGCAGTTTGTCGCAAGCTGTTTTGATGAGGGAATTATTCCCCCCCACCCGGAAAAGCGATCCGCCGATCAACTAACAAATGGGTTCCTGCTTACTGCTGGTTAAACAGAAGCGTGCGTGTGGAGTAAGGAAACTTGCCTAAGGTTTCGCCTTGCCTGGGAATCGAACCCAGGTCCTCTCGCTTGCGAGCTGAGTGTTCTGACCACTAGTTCTGACCGCTAGGCTGTATTGCAATATTGAAAAGTAACTGGTTTCTGTCAGAACGTAACGTCACTGGCTACCGAAAGCCATAAGCACAAGTGATTTACAGGAGGTTCACAAGTGACTTACCGGCTTGAACTGCACATCGTTTGGAGGATGCTTAAAATTTGGTCCAAAGTTGATCGACACCTGAAGGTACCAAATGCAAACCCAGACTGTCATTTGCGTTTGAACCAAGCGAATCATAACGTTAAGTCAAAATAGGTGACAGGTCTCTGAAGTTACCTGAAGTAGTTTAAAAAGTAAAGTCGCCCTGACAGAGAATCGAACCCGGGCGGGGAAGTGCGCAATTGGGGCCTTTCGCTTGCGAGGCGACCGTGTTAGCCACTACGCTACCGGTCTCCACCGGGTGTGGGGGGGGGGGGGGAGAGAGAGACTTTCAGATTGTTCTTGAATCAGAGCTTACAACCCGCTCGTGTGCAGAGCGCCAGCAATCAACGCAAATTCCACTCAACTTACCGTGCAGTTCTTATACAGAGACACAGCGGGATGGTAAACCCCAGCGTACAGGTCCTGATAGGCAACCCCCTTGTTCTCGCCGTTTTTATAAAATATCATCTGATTAAAAAAACACACACACACGCGCGCACAGGACGAAGGTATTGATGATTGAAATGACCCAACATTGAATAGTTCAAAGAGGGAAGGAGCTGCGTTCAAACCACAGAGATTCCGCTCAGCCTTGCACTCTATTTTTGGGGGGAGGGGGAAAAAAGGTGGAATGAAACAAGATAAGACATTTCAACACCACACCTCCTATCTCTGAATCCAAATCGTTTATGTGTATAGGGCAGGACAGGGCGAGGCGGAGGGATTGAGGGGGAAGAGAGAGTGACAAGAGTTTCGGGACGTTAGTGGCTGAAAGCGCGGCTGCCGATGGTGGAGCGGAGGAGGGGACGAGGGATGAGCAGGAGGCCGGAGCCAGTCGAGCGGAGGCAATGGGCAGAGGGGTGGGGAGAAAGCAGGGCAGAGAGGCAGGGAGGTGCCAGGGCGGGAAGGGATTTGTGGACGGGTGGAATCGCTTACTTTACTGGCGGCAGCTGGCTTTAGGCTCTTCTCAGCCTTGTCCACAAAATCTTTCTCTTCAAAGTACAAATAGCTCTTGAATTTAATCAGGGCCTAGTTTACAGACAGAGAGAGAGAGAGAGAGAGAGAGAGAGAGAGAGAGCGACAAGTCAGTGCGCAAAGGCAGCAATCCACGACTGTGGGACAGGACACTGCTGTGCGCAATCAGCTGCCGCGTTTCACCCACAAGATAACCCAGTTTATGTATATTCCGCGAAACGTTTTGAGACGTCATCCGTCCCAGTACCATCGCCTCGCCACCCCCCCCACCCTCGATCACGACCGAAGACCTTCCTCTTCGACTGTGCTTACGGTCGCCTCTTCCCTCCCTCCCCCCTCACCCCCTACGGCTCGGTGTTCGATTCCGCCACCGTTAAGCGCTCCGAGACGCTGACGTAAACGCAAGTCGTTGCTGTCGTCTCGACGAGCTGATAAGGCGCGATATCAAATACGAGGATTATTATATTCTGCAGTATAACACTAGCCGTTTAAACGACTGAACTGTCCTCGTGGCTCCGGTTACCTTGTCCTTATAAGTGTCGGGGAGGGCTCGAGCAGCCTCTGTGTCCTCAGGGAGGTGCAAGTAAAATCCCAGCACGTCCCCCTGACCGTAGCCCTCAGAGTAGCTCTTGCCGAAGGACTGATGAAACTTGGTTCCCCGTTTACTGCGCCAGGAATAGCTGAACTTGTCATAGCCCAGCGGAGCCTGCAGGTTGCCTGGAAGGAGACAAAGTGCAAGAGTCAGATCAGCTACGAGAAATAATAATATTAATCCTTGCGTTTGACCCGGCGCCTCATCACGTCGTCGAGACGCCTCAAAGCGCTTCACAGGATACACTGTAAAGTGAGTGATGTGACTGTGTATTTTGTGGGAGAAACGCAGCTGCCGATTGCCCCACAAACAGTTGTGGATTGAGTGACCAATTTATGACTGCATCTTGGGTGGGGGAGGAATTATTACCCCCAAAAAAGCGTGTGTCTGTCTGTGTGTGTCTCTGTCTGTCTGTGCGCGTCTCTGTGTCTGTGCGCGTCTCTGTGTCTGTGCGCGTCTCTGTGTCTGTGCGCGTCTCTGTGTCTGTGCCCGTCTCTGTGTCTGTGCGCGTCTCTGTGCCTGTCTGTGTGTGTGTGTGTATATCTGTGTGTGTGTGTGTCTGTCTGTGTGTGTGTATGTGTCTGTGTGTGTCTGTCTGTGTGTGTCTGTCTGTGTGTCTGTCTGTCTGTGTGTGTCTGTGTGTCTGTCTGTCTGTCTGTGTGTGTGTGTCTGTGTGTGTGTGTCTGTCTGTGTGTGTCTGTCTGTCTGTCTGTGTGTGTCTGTCTGTCTGTCTGTGTCTTTCTGTCTGTCTGTCTGTGTGTGTCTGTCTGTCTGTCTGTGTCTTTCTGTCTGTCTGTCTGTGTGTGTCTGTCTGTCTGTCTGTGTCTTTCTGTCTGTCTGTCTGTGTGTGTGTTTGTCTGTGCGCGTCTCTGTGTCTGTGCGCGTCTCTGTGTCTGTGCGCGTCTCTGTGTCTGTGCGCGTCTCTGTGTCTGTGCGCGTCTCTGTGTCTGTGCGCGTCTCTGTGTCTGTGCGCGTCTCTGTGTCTGTGCGCGTCTCTGTGTGTGTGTGTGTGTCTGTCTGTGTGTGTCTGTCTGTGTGTGTCTGTCTGTGTGTGTCTGTCTGTCTGTGTGTGTCTGTCTGTCTGTGTGTGTCTGTCTGTGTCTGTCTGTCTGTCTGTCTGTGTCTGTCTGTCTGTCTGTCTGTGTCTGTCTGTGTCTGTCTGTCTGTCTGTCTGTCTGTGTCTGTCTGTGTCTGTCTGTGTCTCTGTGTCTGTCTGTGTGTGTCTGTCTGTGTGTGTCTGTCTGTGTGTGTGTCTGTCTGTCTGTCTGTCTGTCTGTGTGTCTGTCTGTCTGTCTGTGTGTGTGTGTGTGTCTGTCTGTGTGTGTGTCTGTCTGTGTGTGTGTGTGTCTGTCTGTCTGTGTGTGTCTGTCTGTGTGTGTGTGTCTGTCTGTGTGTGTGTGTCTGTCTGTGTGTGTGTGTCTGTGTGTGTGTGTGTGTCTGTCTGTCTGTCTGTGTGTCTGTCTGTCTGTGTGTCTGTCTGTCTGTGTGTCTGTCTGTCTGTGTGTCTGTCTGTCTGTCTGTCTGTCTGCGTGTCTGTCTGCGTGTCTGTCTGTGTGTCTGTCTGTGTGTCTGTCTGTGTGTCTGTCTGTGTGTGTGTGTCTGTCACACCAGTGGGGGTTTGGGGAGAAATCCGGGAGATGAGGGTAATGGCAACAGCTGTAATGGTGATAGTAATCCCGGCAACAATAATCCAGTCGCATTTCGCCCACACGAAACCCACGGTCACTCCGCTTCGCAGTGATCCCGGGAAGCGCTTTGAGACGTCTCGAAGAGGCCACGAGGCTCCGCTCCGAACACCAGGAATTATCGTCGTTCGACGCTGCGCCTTATCGAGACGTCTCAAAAGCGCTTCACGGGGTGGTAGAGCCAGTCAAGTGGAGTGACCGTGTGTTTTTTTTTGGGGGCGAAACGCGGCAGCCAATTGACGAGAATTTTGTTCTTTTTTTCGTTCCGTTTTAAAAAAAAACATAATGTACGGCGCGACGCTCACCCAGCGGCTGGGACCAGCCGAGCCTCGCCGCCGTCTCGGAAGGCATTTCGTCCACCGTGACCTCGAAGTACCAGCTCCCCTTCCTCACACCGTGTGAGGCTCGCACCATGGAGTAACCCTTCTCTCCCGTCACCGTCAGCCGGTCGTCTGAGATCTTCAGTTGAGGAGCTGCAAAGATGGAAGAAGGCCGCACTCTCACATCACCGTTTACGCTACCACCACAACCACCATTTATATCCTGGGCAGTCGGGGTTTTTTGGGGGGACCCGAGCTGGGAGTTGGGGTCAGGAGGGGTGGAGGGCAGGGGGAGTGGGGTGTGGGTGAGGGTACACGAAGGCACGGTCGAAGAGGAACTTCTTTAGACGGCACTAAAGGCCGCGGACACTTTAAGCGCTCACCTCGATCGTGTAGGGCCAGGAGCACCTTCTCGTACAGACAGGCGCGGTACAAGTCTCCGGGAATGGGTTTTCCAGCCCAGCAATCCAACTCCAGCTTCTCGGGATCGGGGGCGTGGGGGTCGGGCTCAGCCAGGATGTAACGGTAACCATCCTTGTTGAAAGGATGTTCCAGAGGGTAACCGTGAGGAGGCAGACGCTGAGCGCTGAACAGAGGATCACTGAAACACACAGACCAGACCAGACAGGTGTGAATTCAGAGCAGCGTTGGAATGTGCAGTCACTGCCAGGGAGCAACTGGTCTGCTGCAAAGCACTCTTATAATCATAATAATCCTTGCATTTGATATAGCGTGTTGTTGAGACGTTGCAACCCGCTTCACGGGATGTACTGTGCAGTGTAGTGACTGTGTGTTTTGTGGGCGAAACACGGTGCGCAGTTGCGCACAGCAGCGTCCCCATAACCAACCGTAGATTGGGTGATTTTCAGAAGGACGCCTTTCATGTCCTCCTGACGTGAAGTAAAAGGCACCAAACAAATGTAATTTGTTGTTCTTGTAATTATTTTTTTTAAAAGGGGATCATTACCCCCCGGAAAAGCGATCCGCCAATCGACCAACAACCGGGTTCCTCCTTACCGCTGGGTAAACAGAGACGTACGTGTGTGTGTGTGTGTGTAGTAAGAAAACTTGCCTAAGGTTTCGCCCTGACTTGACCCAACCGGGAATCGAACTCGGGTCCTCCCGCTTGCAAGGCGAGGGGGCCTAAGGTTCCCGGTTACAGTCAGTCACTCACCTGCGGGCTCTCTTGGCTGCTCCACCCGAGGCTCCGTCCTGCTTGCGTTTGGCTCCTCGCCCTTTTCCGCTTCCCCCAACAGCTCCGCCACCTGGAGAAGAAGCAGTGAGATAGATGGTGACCCCGAGAGGGAAAAGTGGGCTGCTCCCCGAGGGCAAGGCAGGGCAGCGTGGAGGCCCAGAGCAGAGATAGCAGCTCAGCCCAGTGGAGAGAACAGCCCCTCCTGACACACAACACAGCCTGGAAGCACTCGTCTAATGTCACATGCCTGGGACAAGGGTAGAGGGGCGGGTGGGCGGGCTAGCAGGAAGGGCATCATTTTATCACAACACAGACACCAATTTCGACACGACAGCAGTAAACGACTCACTCACTATGCCGTTCTTGATGGGAGTTACCGCCAAGTGTCCCACCAAAGAGAACAAGTGAACGAAGCAAAGCGTGTGTAGAGAGGAACCATCAGTACCTTCCCGTCCCTCCCTCTTAATAATAATAGTCCTTGCATTTCAGTAAAGTAAACCCAAGGCGTTGAAGGTGAATGTGACAATATTGCTTGTTACAGGGTATAGAACGACAGAACTTTTAACGCTTTGCAGGGAATTATTGTCAACTGCTGTAGCAAATCTGGACGCGGTAATGTTCCACAAACTGCCATGAGGTGAACGCCCAATTTATTGGCCAGCCTCCGCCACTGTTGAGCACTCCGCACGAAAGCACGTTGGCCGGGATTTTGAACTCAATAACAATATTAGTAATAATCCTTGCATTTGATTTAGTGCCTTATCTAGATTTCCACTAACCCTTTGGGTGAAAAAAATCAAATCCCTTGTGTNAAAAAAAAAGAAACCAAAAGAAATACTTTATCTGTAGTTTCCTCTACTGAATCCCTCTATCGTTTCAAGCACCTCAATCAGATCAGCCCCCAACCTTCTAAACTCAAGGGTTAAGTAAGAATAAGGAACAAGATCTCACTTAAGAGGTGGCGTATTCTACCTACTGTGGCCACACAGGAAAATATCAACATGTTTCAGCGCACGACCGAATTACAGAATTGCACGTGCTTTTTTCTGTGTGGGGAGGGGGGGGGCAGCCAAATAGACGAATTAAAGTGTTGTCCAGTTTCGTAGTCACTCTTGGGAACGCAGAACACAGTTAAAGCTCCTCCTGCACTAATCTCGGTATCACTCCCCCCACCCAGCGCCCCACGGACACACACACCACCACCCCCCCCCCCCCCCCACACACACACTGTGATGTTTCCTCTTCTCACTTGGAGCGACCCACAATCAGTGGGCATCTCACTGCCTAACGCTCTTATCGGTTCACACTAGCCAGATTTGTGGTAGACAAGAGTAAGAGTCCACTCAAGAGAGGAAACCTTGATGACGACAATATTGTCTTGCGTTTTATATAGCGCCTTATCACGTCTTCGAGACGTCTCAAAGCGCTTCACAGGACATACTGTAAAGTGTAGTGACTGTATTTTGCGAGCGAAACGCGGCAGCCAATTGCGCACGGCAGTGTCCCACAAACAGTCGTGGATTGGGTGATCAATTTTTTTTTATGTTGAAGGGATTATTGCTCCCAGAAAACAACCCGCGCTTGGATTGAACTGGGAGGCTACGTCAACATGATTTTTCCTCCTCTGCACATGTGCTGCGTTGGCCCAGGTCAGATCAAAGAGAGGAGAGAGAGGCAAGGAGAAAAGAGGACAGACAGATCAATCAATAAGCAACAAGCGGTTTAAACCAGGGACAAGAATACTCAGGGTTTAGAACTCAAGACACAAGCTTTTACCTCCCAACGAGGCTCCACCTGCAGAAAGAGAAAGTCACAGCGTGCATTGGTAGTGTCCGAAGAGGTTAACAATAATGATAATAATCCTGGCATTTGATATAGCGCCTTATCACGTCGTCGAGACGTCTCAAAGCGCTTCACAGGATGTACTGTAGTGAATTGACTGTATATTTTGTGGGCGAAACGCAGCAACCAATTGCGCACGGCAGCGTCCCCACAAACAGTCGTGGATTGAGTGACCAATTTTTTTTTTGAATGGATTATTGCACGCGGAAAAGCGATCTACCAATCGACTAACAAGCGGGTTCCTACTTACTGCTAGGTATACAGAGGCGTGTGTGTGGAGTAAGGCCGAAGGTTGTGCCCTGCCTGGGAATCGAACCTGGGTCCTCTCGCTTACGAGGCAAATGCTCTAATCACTGAGCTACACAAGTCTTCTAATATACTTTTAATGTACCACTACTCCACTCACACAGCAAGTTACTATGAGTTTCAAGGCAACAATAGGAACCAGATTCGTTCACGATAACCAGCTCAGAAATGAAGCCAGCAGAGCACACACACCATTGAGACTTCCTCCTGGAGCTAAGGTGTTGCCTTGCTTCTGGTTATCGTAGGCTGGGCCAATGCTTGAAAGATCCTGAAAAGAAACATTGCAGACACTCAGCACGATACAGAAGAAAGTCTCATTACACCTGGGTTCAACAAAGGTCATGGCTGCACACCCTTGCCAGAATCACTGACTCAGTCTCATTAATAACTAGGGGCAAAACTATTTTGGGGTCGGCCGGGTGTCTTGACACACACGGAAACCCATCAACATTTTTTAAGAGTCTCCAAACCAAGCTGAGAATTTCATGCATCCCATCTACACATGGAAATCCAAGCGATAGATTGTCGGAATGGAATGTGCACTCTCTCTCTCTCTCTCTCTCTCTCCCTGGAGGGACACATTCTACTTACCTAATTCCGGACAGTATTGGACGCAGGTTGGCAGAAGCCAAGTCTTCGGGTGGGGTGGGGAGTGGGGTGGGGAGCCTAGATTGTGCGTTAGGTTAACTGCTGGAGTCTAACCAGCTAAAACCGCACATAGCTTGGCCATTAATCTCGCACAGTTGACAAGGAAAAGAAAATCTTGGTGTTCAGCTTCAAATCATTTTATGACAATCTCGGCCCCAGCCTGTGCCCGCAGAACTGCTAATGTGGTGTTTTACCTGGTCTAAGAGTCCAAACTTGGGGTACTCTTCCTGAGGATCCTTACTGCCGGGATCGGGATTCTCTTTCACCAGGAACACATCCCGCTCTTTGGTCTGAAATCGAAGAGAGAAGGTCATCCACCTGAAATGTTAACCCACTTTCCTCTCTCCCTAGATGCTACCTGACCTGCTGTATGTTCCCAGCCACTTCTGTCTTCATGATAATGCTTGCGTTCGATACAGCGCCTTATCATGTCGTTGAGACGTCTCAAAGCGCTTCGCAGAATATATTGTGAAGTGTAGTGACTGTGTATTGTGTGGGCGAAACGTGGCAGCCAATTGCGCACAGCAGCGTCCCCACAAACAGTCGTGGATTGAGTGACCAAATTATTGTTTTTTTTTTTTAAAAAAAGGGATTATTATCCCCGGAAAAGTGATCCGCCAATTGACTAACAACTGGGTTCCTACTTACTTCTGGGTATACAGAGGCGTGTGTGTGTGTGTGTGTGGAGTCAGGAAACTTGCCCAACTTTTCACCCTCCCTGGCCGGGAATCGAACCCAGGTCCTCTCGCTTGTGAGGCGAGTGCTCTAACCACTGAGCTATAGGACTAAATGGCCTCACAAAGTGTAACGTCTCGAGCGCTTAATATAACTCGGACTGATTCACTCACCATAGTCTTCACAATGTTATTTGGCCAAGTGAGTTTACTCGGTCTCTGGCGCGTAGTCAGACATTCCCAGTATTTGTCAATAAAGGGAATTATGTCCTGCAAAGCAATGGGGTCGCACAGTCAGACACAATCATTCACGTTTCTGTTTTCCAACTCGCTTTTCAGACGTAAGGCAAAATAATGCAGCTAATAACTTGCATTTATAATAATCATCCTTGCATTACACACAGCGCCTTATCACGTCGTCGAGACGTCTCAAAGCGCTTCACAGAAGTGAATTGACTGTATATTTTGTGGGTGAAAAGTGGCAACCAATTGTACACAGCAGTGCAATCTGAAATAAAAACAGAAGTCACAGGGAACACCTCTGAGCAGGTCAGGCAGCATCTATGAAACGTTAACCCACTCACTTTCCTCTCTCCATAGATGCTGTCTGACCTGCTGAGTGTTCCCAGCCACTTCTCTCTTCATTTCACTTTTAAAACACCAACGTGGGCACCAACACATTCGCACACTTTTACTATGAACGTTTTAGCCGCTTTTAAAAAGAATGGAACACCCCGAGTCTCAGGAAAGCTGCTCAGATCCCACTCGGTCAGTCAGTCAGTCAAATGTGCTCATTTCCCAGTTCGAGTTTATACCTTATCCTTTGAGAACATAGTTTTGGGATGTTCATCCTGTGTCCGTGAGCGCCAGGTCAGGTTAGCGAGTGCAGTCAGGCACATCTCCTTCAGGTCTGCAGGAAACCGGAGCAAATACTGAGAATAATCCTTGCGTTTGATACAGCGCTTCACAGAATATATTGTAAAATGAATTGACTGTATTTTGTGGGCGAAACGTAGCAGCCAAATGCGCACAGCAGTTCAACAAACGGTCGTGGATTGAGGGACCAAGTTCTTTTTTAAAAAAAAAATTTTTTTTGGAAGAGATTATTACTCCCCGTAAAGCAATCCACCAATCGATTAACAACTGGGTTCACATCCTACTTTACTGCTAGGTAAACAGAGGGGTGTGGAGTAAGGGCAAACACATGTACACACACACCCATGAGGCAAGGCTCTGGCACAGGCACACGCACCACAGACACGCACTCACAAAGATTATAACATTTGACTATTTTAACTCAAGAGTCCTAAGAGTCTTCGGGTAAATAACGTGTCACAGTAATTCATCTTACTCGCTTGTTTGCGGAGAAAGTAGGTGTTGCCGCTGTGGTGACACATGTTGCAGTGGAAGATGTAGTTGGTCATGAAGGGGAGGCACGAGCTGTGAACGGAGAGAAGACAGCGTTACTCTGACTGTTCGAGTAACCTTAATAAACCGCGGAATATCGAAGGGTAAGGATCAGTGGCTGTTAATAATAACAACAACAATCCTTGCATTTGATATAGTGCCTTATCAAATCATTCAGATGTCTCTAAGCGTTTCACAGGATATACTGTAAAGTGAATCGATCGTGTATTTTGTGGGTTTGAAAATATTTATTAGTGGTATTAATACTAATAACCGAATAATAAGAATCACCCTTGAATTTGACGATCACCTTATCACGTTATTGATTCACAATTTACTTGAGCAGCTCTCCGCTCAGCCTTAAATTTACACACGCCTCAAATTGTGCGATTCACTGAAGTTACAGAACAACTTGCACTTTCAGACACACCTTTTATCTCAAGCACTTCACAAATACGATGGGGTGTATCGAGCAGGGAGAATTAACTACGTCAACCCAAAGGAAGGTCTTCAGGTGTGACCTGAAGATGGGGAAGGAGGGGGCAAGGCAGGGGGATTGAAGGAGAGTGTTCCAGAGTGTTCAGGGAGCAGTGGCTGAAAGCGTGTTCGTCGATGGTGGAACGGAGGGCACGAGAGACAATAAATGACGTTTACATAGCGCCTGTCACATGGGGAGGACATGTTAAGGAGCTGAGCAGTCAGGGATTTGGACGCGAGCTGGGGGTCGGGATCGGGGAGGGTAAAGGGCGGGGAGGGTAGAGGTCAGGGCGGGTTGGAGAGTGGCCAAAGGCTCGGTCGAAGAGGAGGGTTTTGGGACGCTCCTTGAAGGAGACAAGGGAATACGTACGTTGTATCGAGGCCAAAAGTGTCTGCTGCAAACCACTTCATGCATATCCCACACTGGAGCTCCACCCCACCAAGATGGCGGACAGACTCCTCAGCCTCGTCTGTGGGCACCGCCTGCTGGACACTGTCCATGGCTTCAGTGCTGTCGCCCGACACCTCCTGGAAGAGCAATAATAAATCATAATAATCCTGGCATTCGACACAGCGCCTTATCACGGCTTCGAGACGTCTCAAGAGCGCTTCACTGGATACACTGTAAAGCGAATTGACGGTGTATTTTTGGGGGTGAAAGGCGGCAGCCAATTGCGCACAGCAGCGTCCACACAAACAGCCGCGGATTGAAGTGACCATATTATTATTATTAATTTTTTTTGGAAGGAATTATTATCTCCCGGAAAAGCGATCCATCAATCCAATCGATTTGAAACCGGGTTCCTACTGACTGCTGGTAAACAGCGCGTGTGTGTGTGTGTGTGTGTGTGTGTGTGGGAGGGGGTGGGGTGGGGGGGTAAGGAAACTTGCCCAACGTTTCTCCCTGACCTGACCCGCCCGGGAATCGAACCCGGGTCCTCTCGCTTGTGAGGCGAGGGCTCGAACCCCTGAACTACAAGGATCTCCGCTGTCTTATTCAGAGCTAAACACAACCTAAAATAAGGTGAGAGGCCCTTCAACCATGATGTTTGTTCCTCTATTTCCATTTATCTGCCCCCCCAATGGTCTCCCCCCACTGGAGCTCTCTGCTCTCACCCCATTCCCTGCTCTCTCTCTCTCTCTCTCTCTCTCTCTCTCCCCCAATCGTGTCTACGCTGGGGCTCGCTCCCCCCCACTGTAGCTCTCTACTCTGTAACCCCACTCTCTCTCTCCCCCCCCCCCCCAATCGTGTCTGTGCCGGGGTTCGCCCCCCCCCCCCCACTGGAGGGCTCTCTGCTCTGAACCCCGTACTCCTTTACGCCGCCGGACATTTCCCCCAACGCTTATTCGGTTCTCTTTCGAGTCGCGCCGTCGGCCGAGTCAGACGGGGTACGTACCCCATCTTTCCCGCCAGAAGGTTCCACGTCCATAGACACAGCCATATCGGCCACAGGCGCATCACTGCGATAAAATAAAGACACCCAAAGGTTATTCAAACGCCGCCAACCGACACTCCCCAGAGAACCGCGGATCTCATTCCAGGGTCTAATGTAGTAATAATAAACCATAATAATAATAAACTAATCGTAAATAATAATAACAATCATAAATAATAATACAAATAATAATAATAAACAATAAATAATAATAATAATAATAATAATAATCGCGGTGTCTGATCCACGGCTTCGAGGCGCCTCCAAAGCGCTTCGCGGGACGCGCCGTGAAGTGTAGTGACTGCGTGTAGTGACTTGTGGGTGAAACGCGGCAACCGATCGCGCACGGCGACCCCCCCCCCACCCCCCCACCCACCCACCCCACACCCCCACAACCCCCCCCACCCTGACCCCCCACCCCAACCCCCCCACCCACCCCCCCACCACAACCCCCCCACCCCACAACGCCCCCCACCACACCCCCCCCCCCACACACAAACAGCCGCGGGTTGGGGGGGGATTATTACCCCGAAAAGCGAACATTTATACCACTCCCCCCCCACCCCATCCCCACACACAACTCCCTCCCCTCTCCCCTCCCCCCCATTTTACCCGCTCCCCCCCCCGCCCCCCCCACACTCCCAGCTCAGGCCCTTAAAGCCTCGGCCTCGAGTTGCCGCCCTCCCCCCGGGGCCCTGAGGTACCTGACGGGTCCGGGGGGCGGCAGCAGCGGCAGCGGCGCCGGGGGGGGGGCGGCGGCGGCGGCTCCGGGTCCTGCGGGGGCTCGGGCTCGGCCTCTGGCGGGGGAGGGGGCGGTGGCGGCGGCAGAGCCGGGACTGGGACCGGGACCGGGGGTTCGGGTTGGGGTTCGCGCTCCGCCGCCGCCGCCATTTTCCTGACTCTTCCCGCGCTGGACTCCTTAAAGGCGCACAACCGCCAGCCCGCGCCCTTAAAGGCAAAGGCTCCCAAACCCAGCCGGTCGGCGAACAATAAATTCATACCCAACATTAGCCACAGTGGGGGGGTGGGGAGGAGGGGGAGGAGGTGATAGGTTAATAATAATAATAATAATCCTCGCATTTGATATAGTGCTTTTCACGTCGGGAGGACGTCCCAAAGCGCTTCACAGAACACACTGTAAAGTGAAGTGACTGTATATTTGTGGGCGAACGCGGCGGCCAATTGCGCACAGCAATGTCCCACAAACAGTCGTGGATTGAAAATGACCAATTTATTATTGTTTTTGGTTTTTTGGAGGGAATATTATTAGGCTCTGTGTGGAGTAAGGAAACTTGCCCGAGGTTTCGCCCTCTGCCTGGGATTGAACTCAGGTCTCTCACTTGCAAAGCGAGTGCTCTAACCACTGAGCTACAGGACTCCCCTGTTAATAACAATAGGTTGTTGAAATGCCTCAAACTGTTTCACTGGCAATAATAATAATAATAATAATAATAATCCTCGCATTTGACCCGGAGCCTCGTCGGGTCTTCGAGACGCCTCAAAGCGCTTTGCGGGATACGCTGTCGAGCGTAGTGACCGTGTACTCTGTGGGCGAAACACGGCGGCCGATTGCGCCCAGCGGCGTCCCCCGCACAAGCAGTCGTGGGTTGAGTGACCCAATTTATTATTGTCGTGTAGTGACTGTTTTTTTTTTGAAGGCAAAGCCAACAACAACAACAACAGCGGCACACGATGTTTACACGGCGCCTTTCACGTCGGGAGGACGTCCCAAGGCGCTGGACAGTCAGGGATTTGGACCCCGAGCTGGGGGGTGGGGTGTCGGGATCAGGAGGGGGTGGAGGGCGGGGCGGGTGGGGGTAGGAGGGTGGTCGAAGGTGCAGTAGAAGAGAAAAAAGCAGGGGGGGAAGCCCAGCAAAGTCCCACAAGCAGCTGTGAAGTGACTGAGCCATTTTATCCGGGAGAAACCGCCTTCCTCCTTTCTGATAACGAACGACACGGCATAAAAATCGATCGGCCACAAATACGCAGTCACTACACTTTGCAGTCAAACCCCGCGGTGGGATCCGAGCTGCTCCAGTGACTCGATTAAAAGGAGTTGGATCAAACGCAATCTCAGACGGTCATCAGTAAAATTAGAAGCGACAACAAATCACACTCGTATAGCGCCTTTCACGTCAAATATGTACAGGGGAAGTATTTACAGCAGAACGGGGTACCAGCAAAATGCTTTCATGCTTTATTTTGGGGGGGGGGGGAGGCTTCAGCCGGGTGTTTGGCACACGCGGAAACCCACCAGCAAGCACAGGAGTCTCCAAACCAAGCCGAGAGTTTCTTTCGACCACCAGGTGTCAGTACGAATAAAGCAGTTGTAATTATAATTATAATAATAATAATAATAATAATAATCCTTGCGTTTGATCCAGCCTCTGAGGTTCGATTCCCGGCGGGGTGTGGGGGGCAAAACCTTCGGTAAGTTTCCTTACTCAACGCGCCTCTGTGCACCCAGCAGTAAGTCAGAAGTTGGTCGTCGCTTTTAATCCCTTCAAAATATATATATATATACGTACACACACACACAAACCCCCCCCCCCCCAGTTATCTCAGCAAATCCTGCATTCAACATCATCCATAATCCCTTCGAAAAAAATTGTTCACTCAATCCCACGGCTGTTTGTGGGGACGCTGCCGTGCGCAACCGGTTGCCGCTGTTCCGCCCCCAGGATACACAGTCACTACACTTTACAGCAGTGCTTTCTGTGAAGCCCTTCGAGACCTCCGGAAGACACGGTAAGGCTCCGTGTCAAACGCCAGGATTATTATCGTCATTAAAACGGGTTGTTATTTCGGAAGCTCGGAGGTCCCAACACTCCACAGCAGCTGAAACCGAGCAGCGAAACTAAACTAAACCGAGGAGATAAAGTCGTTAACGGGACCTGCAGTGTGTCCGAGACAACTTTGATATTGTAATTAATTTATCTGTTGAAGAGCTCGGCTTCTTGCCAATCACCAGGTGAGCGGTGAATGTGTAAGGCCACCGCCAGAGATCAAAAGGAGGCCATTTCTCACCTGCTCTCCCCTCGCAAAATCCTTTTGTCTGGTTCTGGCTTGAGGAGGAATTCCAAAGGGATGGTTAACCCAATCCCCAATGGAGAGAAGCAATTTACTGGTCACAACAAGGTGAGAGAGACCAGACAGACAGATAGAGAGGGAGAGAGAGAGAGAGAGGGCTCGGAAACGCACAGAGCTCTCATTTCTGTGGGAAAAGTCTATCGGAGAGGAACGAGACTCCCAGTTCTTTGAAGTGTTGATCTGGTCGAGAGGAGCATCAGAACCGTCGTAGACAAGACACGTTCAGCTGAAATACATGATGATCGTTAATCATAAAGCCATTACTCCTCCCACCCCACCACCCCAAGTTTCCAAGCGTCTTACGCTTAGCTCGGGGGGGTTCGAGCCCTCGCCTCGCAAGCGAGAGGACCTGGGTTCGATTCCCGGGCGGGTCGGGTCAGGGCCAAACGTTGGGCAAGTTTCCTTACTCCACACGCGCACACACCTCTGTTGACCAGCAGTCACTAGCAACCCGGTTGTTCGTCGATTGAGGGGGTTGGGGGGTCACTAACCCTCCCCTCCCCCGTCATAAAAAGACTTCTATCACAGGAGAGAGAAACCTCTGGTGATTATTGGAACAATTATCTACCCTTCATTGAGGGTGATTGAAAGCTCTCCACCTCCCACCCCCCACCCCATAATAACTCTCAAACCCACTCCCCTTTGGCTCTGAGTGTCACTGTCTCCAAACCCTGTTGGGGGTGAGGATGGGGCAATAAAACCAAATACCCCCCAAAAATGCTTCCCTCCCCCAAATAAAACTATTAAATCCAATTAGAGCTGGTAACAATTTTACACCCTCCCTCCCCCTCTCTCTCTCTATCTCTAACTCGCCCTATTCCTGTAAAAGCACAGAAACAAGTCACTTTTACAAGGAAGAGAGAGCACTTGATGTCGTAAGTCTTTTTTTGTGAACGAGAGTAGAGTTGGGAGTTGTGGTTGGAGTTTGGTCTCAGTGTTGAGACTGTGTGTATTGAGCTCGATGGGGGTGGGCTGGGGGTCAAGGGGTGGGGTGGTGGTGGGGGGGGTTGATCAAAGAGATGTAGTGACTAGCCATCAGCCACTTCAAAGCTCTGTCCCACCTATAAAACGCCTCCCAACCACCAGCCCGACATTCAGTTAAGCTCTCCACACCTCCTCCTCCTAAACAGAGCAGAGCAAATGGCTGGGGGTCAGCGCCTCCCAGGACTTTCCCCCTTAATAGTCCCCCTCCTCCTCTTGGTGGTCGCCACAACTCGGGCAGACCGAGGGGCTGGGGTCGCCCCGGCAGCCCGCGGGCCACTTGCCCCTGCTCGCGGGCCGCCAAGGGTTGCCCGCGGGCCGCCAAGCGTTGCGGGTTGGATACTCCGGCAGCGGCTCCCGCTCCAGCCCCGCTATCCCGCCTACATGATGCGCTTATACAGAGCGGCGACCGGAGGCGGAGATGTCCCGAGACAGCACCGGACAGCGGTCAGAGGGGCGGACAAGATCCTGAGTCTGGAGGCGGCGAGTAAGTCATTGTCAGCAGTTTGTCTGTGTGACTGTCTGTCTGTGTGTGTGTCTGTCTGTGTGTGTGTCTGTCTGTGTGTGTGTCTGTCTGTGTGTGTGTCTGTCTGTGTGTGTGTCTGTCTGTGTGACTGTCTGTCTGTGTGACTGTCTGTCTGTGTGACTGTCTGTCTGTCTGTGTGTCTGTCTGTCTGTCTGTCTGTGTGTCTGTCTGTGTGTCTGTCTGTGTGTCTGTCTGTGTGTCTGTCTGTCTCTCTGTCTGTGTGTCTGTCTGTCTCTCTGTCTGTCTGTCTGTCTGTTTGTCTGTGTGTCTCTCTCTGAATGTGTGTCTATCTGTCTGTGTGTGTCTGTCTGTGTGTGTGTGTGTGTCTGTCTGTGTGTGTGTCTGTATGTCTGTGTCTGTCTGTCTGTCTGTCTGTCTGTGTCTGTCTGTGTCTGTCTGTCTGTCTGTCTGTGTGTGTGTCTGTCTGTGTGTGTCTCTGTCACACCATTGGGGGTTTGGGGAGAAATCCGGGAGTTGAGGGTAATGGCAACAGCTGTAATGGTGACAGTAATCGCGGCAACAATAATCCAATCGCATTTCGCTCACACGAAACCCACGGTCACAGTCGAACCCGGGTCCTCTCGCCTGTGAGGCGAGACCCCTGACCCCTGAGCCACATTAACTAACGCTGTTCTCTGTCTCTCTCCCACCCTCCAGGTTGGGCCTACAGAGGAGACAGGTGGGTGATCCACTTTGATCTCTCCTCCATTTCCGGGCAGGACAGCGTACAGTTTGCTGAGCTTCGGCTGCACTTGTCCCAAATCCCCGTCGGCACCAACGCAACCATCACCATCTATCACAGCCGCGGGAGAGAGTGCGCGGGGAACCAGAGCTGCCAGGATCGCTTCCTCCTGGGCTCCTTCACCGCTGACCCTTCCACCACCGAGTCCTCCTGGAAGGTCTTCAACGTGACTGGTCTCCTGGACGTGTGGACTGGCCTCGAGCCAATCGAGAACGCTCAGGTCTCGCGTCCCCATCGACACATCGAAGCCCGAGACCACGAGGCGGGTGAGGAGCATCTCAAGGTCATCAGAGAAAAACTGGCTTCGGTCAAAGCCAAGAGATCGGGCACCAACCCCACCACGCGCCCGTTTCTCCGAGCAATGGCCGTGGACCAGGTGATGATGGTGGTGTTCTGCAAGAGGAACAGCTCGGAGGGGCTGGGCGCCCCCACGCTGCTGCGGACGGTGGAGAGCTCCAAGTTCAGGACCTCGGGCAAGGGGAACGAGGACGCCAGCGGCAAGCGGCACAAGCGCAACAAGAAGGAGCGCTTGGCCGAGGGCAACAGCACCTCATCGCAGGCCGCGGGTCAGTCCCTGTGCCGGAGGATGGACATGGAGGTGAACTTTGACCACATCGGCTGGGGGGAGTGGATTATCTACCCCAAAACCTTCAACGCCTACCGATGTGGCGGCCTGTGCCCCTCTCCCGTGGATGAGGTCTTCATGCCCACCAACCATGCCTACATGCAGGTAGGTGAGAGATGTCTCCAGGTCGCTCCCTATGGCCGTGAGGGTTTCTTAGCAGAGCAATGCCTTGTAGTGTAGTGGTCAGAGCCCTCGTCTCGCAAGTCAGGGCAAAACGTTGGGCAAGTTTCCTTACTCCCCGCACACAAGGGCCAAAGGTTTTGCCCTGACCCGCCCGGGAATCGAAGCAAGCAGAGAACCGTCGTTAAACCAAAAGGCGCAGTCACTACGCTTTTACAGGAGAAACTCCGTGACCGACGTCCGGATGTTTTCACGTGAGAAGACATTATATCAAATGCAGGGATAACTCTTATCCCCGACACTTGAAATCCTGTGAAGTGCTTTGAGCTGTCTGATCATCAACAACAACAACACCGTTTATATAGCTTCCCTCAAGTGGGGTCGTGTCCGAGGGCTCTCGGGAGGACATCAATGTGCGTCTAAACAGGGTTTGTCTGTCCAAGGTGGACGTTTAAGATCCCACAGTGCTATTCAAAAAGAGAAGGGCACCTCTCTCTCTCTCTCTCTCGGTGTCCTGCCTGACAACCCCCCCTCCCCACCGCTCCCCCAGATAACATTCGGTCACTCACTCTCGATGGCTGTTTGCGAGATATGGCTCTGTGCGCAAATTGGCTGCCCGCAAAAATACACAGTCACCACACTGGATCCCGTGAGGCGCTTTGGGGGCGTGAACCGAAAGGCGCTGCAGCCGACTTTTAAGAATTATTGTTGGTTATTAATCGGGAGAAACCGTCCCAGATAAGTGACGAAACCACGGGTTAAAGTCTCTCTGTCATCAGACCGGATTGACAGCTGGTGACTGTGTTGTGTGCCAGTCACTTCACTCACCACTGTCGGTGAGGTGACTGTGACCAGTTAAGACTGTAGTGGCTGTTTGCCAATCCCCTCTGTGTCTGGGAGCATCGCTTTGTCACGCGTCTGCAGTACTGGAGCACGGTATCCCGAATACCCTGGAGTTCCCTGTGGCTCAGGGGGGTTAGAGCCCTCGCCTCGCCAAGCGAGCGAGAGGACCCGGGTTCGATTCCCGGGCGGGTCAGGTCAGGGCAAAGTTTTCTTACACCCCCCTCCCAACACACACACACACATACCTCTGTTCACCAGCAGTCAGTAGGATCGGTAGATGGCTTTTCCGGGGATAGTAATCCCTCCAAGGAAAAATTAAATAAATAATAATTTCTTTCAATATCTGGGGGGTGTGGGGGGGGAGATACAGTGTACAGTTTGGGGGACACATGTCGAGCGACTGGATGGACCAGCGAGTTCTTATGCCCTTAATTTGGACGTTGTATTATTAAGATGATTGTAATTATAACGACAACGTGCGTTTTACACTATCTTTCCTCCCCCAGAGTTTGCTGCAGTCCTTCCACCCGGAGCGGGTACCTTGCACGGCCTGTGTGCCGGTCAGGCTCAGCTCCCTCTCGATGCTTTACTACCGGGACTCGGAGGTGGTGTTGAGCCACCACAAAGACATGATCGTGGAGGAGTGTGGCTGTCGCTGAGGCCGGGCCGAGGGAGGGCGGCTGAACTGTGATCCCGGGGGGAAATCCAGTCCAGTCGCCTGAACATTTGACCTGAACCGGATTGGAGTGAGCGACGCTGTGAAAAGAGAGAGAGGGGGTGTGGGTGGGGGGGGGAGAAAGGGGTTGAGGCCACAACAGGACAGAATTGGCCTTCATTGTTTCGAGACACTCCGCCGTGGTTCTATCTCCTCTCACACTTATTTACAGCTCGGATTCTTGTGATGACACCACAGAGATCGGTGTTGTTCCCCTCTGATGTGTGTGGCGGTGGTGGAGGGGGGGGGGGCGCGGGAATGGGTGGGGAGGGGAAGGGGGTAAACTGACCACCAACATTAATTGTAAATTGTTTGATACGAGTAACTCAAATCCACTATATAAAATTTTATATTTTTATGTAAATAGAGAGAGAGAGAAAAAGAAGTAATTTATTGTTTAAGTGTGACCGCTGTGTTGCGTGTGGGTTTTTTTTTCCTTGGGCGACCGAGCATGTGTCTGTCTGACACACATGGAAACCCATCACTGTGCTGAAGAGTATTCGAACCAGACTTGAGAATTCCATGCCCCGCATCTGACGCCTGGAAATCCCAGAGATCCAATGAAAATAAAAGCACTTGATGTGGCCCCAAAACCTGTATCTGATCCTTTTTGTCTCTTCCGTTTACCCGGAGCTCAGGGGTTAGAGCCCTCGCCTCGCGAGCGAGAGGACCCGGGTTCGATTCCCGGGCGAAATGTTGGGCAAATTTCCTTACTCCGCGCACACACACACACTCGCACGCGTCTCTGTTTACCAGCGTCATTAGGAACCCGGTTGTTAGTCGATTGCTTTTCTGGGGGTAATAATCCCTTCAAAAACAATAATAATTGGTCACTCAATCCACGACTGTTTGTGGGGGACGCTGCTGTCCGCAACTGGTTGTCACGTTTTGCCCACAAACCGTAGTTATTCCACTTTGAGGTATATCCGGTGAAGCGCTGTGAGACGTCTCGAAGAAGGCGCTGGATCAAATGCGAGGATTATTATGTTAAGGATTCTTGTCGAGATAAAAACAACGTGTGAATAAACTGATGTCAGGAACTGGGGATAAAATCAGCCTCCGAGCCATGTCTCTCGATTCAGGAGAGAGAGAGAGTGAGAATTGGCCAATTATTTGCACAATCCCTTTTAAGCATTCACCTGCGATCGTCCCTTTATGGAACCACCGAGAGCATCAACTCTTAAACCACTGTTGATCCATATAAGCATTCGCACTTGAGTGTGATCCTTTGAAGATGACAATTACATTTGATCCCTCTAAAAGCACCACCTGCGCATCATTCCTTTAAGCCTCGATGATTGTGCTTTCCCCTCTCCCACCCCCACCCCCCGGCTCGTTGTCAGACTCCGTCACTGTCAAGCCCCCCTCCCAGGACACTAACCCATGTGAAAGGCGCTATATAATTCCCAGCAGTTGTTGTTGTTGATCACTTTAATCATACACCTCGAGTCTCATCCCTTGAAACCCACTTTGTTTGCCCGGCCGGGTGTCTGACACACACGGAAACCCGTCACTGTGACCGGCCGGGTGTCTGACACACACAGAAACCATCACCGTGGCTTAAGAGTCTCCAAACCCAACTGAGAATTCCCCACATCCCACCCCCACACCTGGAAATCCCAGAGAGAGATTGTCGGAATGGAATGTGCTCTCCCTCTCTCCCTGGAGGGACGCCCCCTCGCTTACCTAATTCGGGAGAGTATTAGGCGCAGAGCCAAGGCTTGAGGGGGAACCCTGAGTGTGCGTTGGGGTAACTGCTGGAGTCTAACCATCTAAACCCACACAGAGTTTGGCCATTGATGTCGCTGTCTGGCCGAGCTTTCCCACTGCTTGTCCAGCTCGGACCCCCCTCCCCGTCCCCCTCCCCAGGGCTTTGGCTGCGGGGTTAACAGGAGCTGAGGGGGTGGATTCTCTGCCCCCAGTGACTGGTCAGCCCTTCCTTTCACTGTAATACTGTGCGGAGGGCTGTTTGTCTGACTGTCATGGAGTCCCTTTAACTCAGTAGTTGCTACGAGTCGCAGCCCTGACCTGTCTCAGCGTTTGTCTTTGTCACTCGGGGAATTTCCTGTTGATCCCTGTGGTGAGAACTCAAATCAACATGTGCTATAGACAGCCCGACCCCCTGGGGGAGTGAGTTGGGGTGTGTGTGTGTGGGGGGGGGCAGAGAAAGGACACGACCTGTGTATTAACACCAGGGGACACGGTTTCACTGTCGGTCACTGAAAAGTGACCGAAAAGTCATTACAACGTCTGATAATAAGTCTTCAAGAAATAATGGTTTTTGTTTAGATAATGGGGTAGATATCATGACTTTTTGCTCACTCTGTATTTTTACAGTGCCTACAAAATCTCAACTATTCGAAGTGGAGTCCCGTATAGGATAACGGTTCGAGCCCTTCGCCTCGCGAGCGAGTGGACCCGGGTTCGATTCCCGGGCGGGTCAGGTCAGGGCGAAATGTTGGACAAGTTTCCTTACTCCACACACACACACACACACACACACACACGTCTCTGTTCACCAGCAGTCAGTAGGAACCCGGTTGTTAGTATTCGCAGATTACTTTCCTGGGGGTAATAATCCCTTCACTAAAAAATAATAATAATTTGGTCACTCAATCTACGATTGTTCGTGGGACGTCGCTGGGCCCAATTAGCTGCCGACAAAACACAGTCACTACCCTTCACAGCGTATCCTGTGAAGTGCTTTGAGACAGCTCAACTACGTGATAAGGCGCTGTATCAAACACAATGATTATTATGATCAGAGAGAGAGAGCAGCGTAAGTTTTATAAAGATGAGAGGACACAGCTGTCGGGACAAGTGGGAGATTTTCTCTCTAGTGTTGAGACGATTAAAGTGGGGTCTGATACAGGGGGTTTAAGACTATAAACGGATTAAGAGGCAGTTTCCACTTGTTGAAATATGATAAATAACTGATCTAATAGGGAGTTTAGGAGCAATTTCTTCTATACCCCGATCCTACACCCCTCTGCTTACCTCCCCCTCAGCAAAAACTTGCATTTATATACCGCCCCTGCACATGGGACAGAGTCTCTCACGTATACATTGTGTTTATTATTAAATACATCGATGCTTTCTGCTTCAAGACAGCTCCAACATTCTCACATCAATGTGTTTAACAGGAAACTTAATGTTTAAGTGAAGGGGAGGAGAATAGAGGGGTGGGAGAGGGGAATAGAGGGGTGTGGGAGAGGGGGATAGAGGGGTGTGGGAGAGGGGAATAGAGGGGTGTGGGAGAGGGGAATAGAGGAGTGTGGGAGAGGGGGATAGAGGGGTGTGGGAGAGGGGGATAGAGGGGTGTGGGAGAGGGGAATCGAGGAGTGTGGGAGAGGGGAATCGAGGGGTGTGGGAGAGGGGAATCGAGGGGTGTGGGAGAGGGGGATCGAGTGGTGTGGGAGAGGGGAATAGAGGGGTGTAGGAGAGAGGGATCGAGGGGTGTGGGAGAGGGGAATGGGGGTGGTGGGAGACGGGGATAGAGGGGTGTGGGAGAGAAATAGAGGGGTGTGGGAGAGGGGATTAGAGGGTTGGGAGAGGGGAACAGAGGAGGACTGGTATGGAGCATAAACACCGGCATGGATAGTCATGTACTATGACCTACATTTTTTGCCCATTTCCTGTGCAAATGAGAGTGGGGGCAGGGGGAGGAGGTGGGGGCGGAGGGGAGGGGAGGGGGTGTTGGCGGGTGGGGGGGGAAATCAACTCCTAGGTGAAAAAGTGAAGCCTTTTTTTAAAAAAAGAGAAATTAGAACCGTCTCCCCACAGTGAGCGTAGCGTGTGTTTACTGCGGAGGCAGGAAGCCTGGCTCAGCCCCCGCCAGCCCCCACCAGCCCAGCAGCACTGAGCAGCCACCTGTTTGTTTAGCCAGACGATGGGAGATTAGTGAATCCACATCCCCTCCCTGGGGGGAGCGAGGTGAGAGGGGGGGTGAGAGGGGGGGGGGGGGGAGGGACACCTATCAGAGATTCTCACTGCATCTGTTTCTCTTACCAGATCTGTTAACAACACGTCCGTCAGGCGGACAGAAGGACGGATGACCCACATCTGTCCAGCCGTTTTCCTGCTCTGGTCTCAATCCCACTCTCGGCACTCCACGCGGAGCAAAGATTCTGGACGCGCGGGTCGGAATATTCTCCTGGCGTTGGAATACAGCGCCTCATCACCTCGTTGAGGGGCCTCAGGATTGACTGTTAAATGCAGTGACTTGTGTGTTTTGTGGGTGAAACTCGGCAGTCAGTTTGCGAGCAGCAGCGTCCCCACAAACACAAACAGTCGTGGGAGTGAGGGACCAGTTTTATTTGGGGCCAGGACACCGGGGGGGGGGGGGGGGGAGAGAGAGAGAGACTCCTTTCTCTTTTCGAACAGTCGCTACAGGCTCTTTAACGTCCACCTGATCAGGCAGACGGGAGCTCAGTTTAACGTCTCGTCCGAAGGATGGCGTCTCCGACAATGCAACACCCTCCCCCCCCCCCCCCCCCCCCCATCCCAGCATTGGAGCTTCAGCTTAGACTGTGTGATTCCATGTCGCGACGTGGGGCTCGAACCCACAACCCCCTGAATCAGAGGCGAGAACGCTACCACTGCGTGTAAAATATATATATATTACAAAATATAACATGAAATCATACAGAACAGGACTGAAGACGCCCACGCAGCCTATTGTGTTGTTAAGTCGATTGGTGGATCGCTTTCCGGGGGTAATAACCCTCCCCCCGTTTGGTGATGCAACCCACGACTGTTTGTGGGGACGCTGCTGTGCGCAATCGGCTGCCGTGTTTCGCCCACAAAATATACAGTCACTACACTTTACAGTGTATCCTGTGAAGCGCTTTGGGACGCCTTGAAGACGTGATAAGGCGCCGTATCAAATGCCAGGGTTATGATTATTATTATTATGTTAAAGCCCGTGATCAGGTCAGCCATCAACCTGCTTTGTTCCAGCAAAAAACAGTCGAGGTTCCTCCAAGTCTCAGCTCATAGGCCAAACCACTCAACCCCGGTATCTTCCTCGTCCCGACAGAACGACATCCCTCCTGCAGTTAAATCACCCGATTATCCAGCAACAACTCGGGACAAAAGTGAGAGAAGAGATGAAGGGTGTTTGGCACAGCATGAATTGCTTCAGATGTGTGAGTCCCAGATCCCGGCTTAACACAGTAACAGTTATTTACTCTGAATATGGTCTGAGTGGGGCAGACTGTTTTTCTTTGAGGTATGGGCTGGGTTACTGGCTCCTGCGGGAACCAGACAGGCATTTGCTTATTCATTGTTGTTGTAAGATGTGGATTGCAGCTAACGTCCCTCACTCAGCCTGACACAGCAGGTCTGCCTGTCGCTGGCGTGGCTGGGACTCACCGTGATTGATCTCTCCCCAGCGTGCTGCTTACATCAACCCTGCTTCACCTCCCACCCCAGCTCCCTCGCTCTTCCCAGGCTCCGCCGCTTTTAACCGCTCCGAGACGCTACCCTGCCAAGCTATCGTGGGTTGTCGCAGCGCTGGTGGGGTGGGGGGGAGAGAGAGAGAGAGAGGGGAGGTGGGGAGACGCATTGTCAGAAACTCCATCCTCAACGGATGAGAACATTAAGCCAAACAGAGCAGTTCTTTGGGGTTGGGAGAAACTCTCAGTTCTTTTTGTAGAAAAATTGATGTTATTTTTGTGGGTGACAATCGGGGTGGGTGGTGGGGGGGGGGTGGGCAGCAGGTACGTGGGGTCTCCTTGGGGCTGAACAACCGGGTTTCTTCTTACTGCCGGGTAAACAGAGGCGCGTGTGCGGAGTAAGGAAATTCGCCTAAGGTTCTGCCCTTCCCGCTTGCGAGGTGAGCGCTCTAACCCCTACACTACGGGACTCGACGACCTCTTGCCCGTGTGGAGCGCCCACCGCGCTGGGCTGCGTCTCGAAGCGCTCACAAAAGCACCAGCTCACGCGGACACGAGACTTGCGGCAAGCTCACGTTAAGAGAATTTGACTTTATTTGTTCTGTTCACTCCCCCCCCCCCCCCCACCACTCTCCTCCTCTGACACGCCAGCCTTCAGAGCCGACGATAAAATGATACAAATTTGAAGCCGGATTAAAAGCGGATCATTAAACACCCCCCCACCCCACCCCCCGCCACCAAAGAGACGCTCGTCTTCCAAGGCGCGGCGAGAACCGGCCGGACCTGGACCGCGCTGGGTCCCGTGGTAACCGCAGGCCGGGCCATTCTCTCCTCGGATGCATTCAAGAATTCCGTGGGTTTCCATTCGTGGCCGGAAACTTTGTTGTGGTGGTGGTGGTTGTTGTTGTCGTCGTTTTGTGAGCGAACGGCTTGGGAGACGTCGCGGGGGCTGGTGTGGAAGCCGGAGAGAGACACGCGGAGCCAACCTTCCGCCTCTCCATCAGGCCAGAGCCTTAAATGTCCATCTCAAACTGAGCGTCTTCTGTTAAACGAGAGAACGTCATCCAGTGAGGCCTCCGACCATAGCACGATGACACCTCGGCCACACACAATCTCAGGCCTCGCAGCCTCTCTCTCTCACACACACACACACACTCATTCCCCCCCCCCCACACACAAACACTCATACCCCCCCGACACACACACACAGATACACACACTCATGTGTGCGCTCACACACACTCTTTCCCACACACACAAATCACGTGATCAGCCACGAGGAAAAGACTCCTGTGGGTGAGTGGGAATGATTTCAAGTGACCTCTTACCCCCCCCACACACAACCACCACCCCCACCCCCTCCACCACCCCGAGTCTCAGTCTCTCTCTGTTACTCACACTCTCTCTCCCTCTCCAACTCCCCCTCTCACACACGTTCTCTCACATTTCCCCCACACCCCCCTCTCTCCATCACTCACGCTCACTTGACAACACAGCGAACAACACTCCAGAGACAGGAGTAGCTGAGCTGGCAGCGGGATCGCGAGGGCGGTGGTGGAGGGGTTGGGGGTGTGTGTGTGTGTGGGGGGGGTAAGAGGTCACTTGAAATCATTCCCACTCACCCACAGGAGTCTTTTCCTCGTGGCTGATCACGTGATTTGTGGCTGGCTTGACCTTGTCTATGCAGGGGCTGGTCACCCCGGGAATTTTGGGAAGGTCTCGGGGCGGAGTCCTGGCCACAGGGGAGTTGCGACACTCCATGAGGAATTTTCGGTCATAAATAATGCGAGTCCCTGGAAAAGACAAACATTACAGGTTACAATAGATTTTGGGGGACACGGGGGGGGGGGGGGACACATGAGGAAATCCGTCACGGTGATTCAAGATTTTATTTGGAGTTGAGGTACAGATCAGCCATAATTTAATAGAATGGAAGAACAGACTCGAGGGGCTGAATGGCCTCTTCCTGTTCCTATATTCCAGCCTGGAACCTCTGGAACACTCTCCCTCAATCCCTCTGCCTTGCTCCACGCTTCCCCATCCTTAGGTCGAGCCTGAAGACCTCCGTTTTGACCGTGCCGACGGTCACCTCCCCCCTCCCCAGCATCGTGCTCCGCCACTGTCAAGTCCTGTAGCTCAGTGGTTAGAGCACTCGCTTTGCAAGTGAGAGACCGGAGTTCATTTCCAGGCAGAGGGCGAAACCTCAGGCAAGTTTCCTTACTCCACACAGAGCCTAATAATAATCCCTCCAAAACCAAAAACAATAATAAATTGGTCATTTTCAATCCACGACTGTTTGTGGGGACATTGCTGTGGGCAATTGGCTGCCGCGTTCGCCCACAAATATACAGTCAATTCACTTTACAGTGTGTTCTGTGAAGCGCTTTGGGACGTCCTCCCGATGTGAAAAGCGCTATATCAAATGCAAGGATTATTATTATTATTATTATTTACACAGTACACAATCACTACACTTTATGGCACACCCTGTGAAGCGCTTTGAGACGGATTCCCCCAACGTGAAAGAAGATGCTGTATCAAGGATTTTTATTCTCAATAGACACCTAGAGACGTGTGCAAGTGAGCAAAGCTCCCGAGGTTACCAACAACCTTATCCACAGCCGGAGATAATATGAAACCTCAACACGATCAAACTTCGAAGTGCCGATACCCAGGTTCAAGGATAAAGCAAAGCTATTCAGCTATTCTTCTTCTGAGTTACCTCGCCACACAGACAACATCAGAACAGCCTCAATTTGCACCTCGTATGCACAGTGATCAGAAGCGTTCACATGTCACACACAAAGCACAAAGCCCCTTTGTCCGGCTCCAGATCGAGTGTGAACTTCATATGATCACTCGATCGGAGGTGTCGATGAAACCAGACAATTTCAGCTCTCACGGACTTTGCTAACAAAGTCAAAGAATAAAGCGTATCAAAGAAAAAGTGCCTGTAAAATATGCATTGCAATAAACACTTTCTGATGTACAACAATAGCTGCTCACGCCATCAGCAGCTGCTCCGGGCCCTTTCTCCTGTCTGGGCCGTTGGTTCTGCTCGACAGGCAACGTTATCAGTTCGGTTTTAGCTGATTAGATTCCTGCAGTTACTTCAGCGCACACTCTGGGGTCCCCCCACCCCCCCAAGGCTTGGCTCTTGCCAACCCGAGCCTAATACTTTCCGGAATTAGGTAAGCCTCGAGATGTCTCACTGACGCGATGAGGCGCTAGATCCGATCAAGGATTGTTAATATTATTGTTAAGCAACAACAACAACAACAAGATTTCATTTATAGAGCGCCTTTCACGTCGGGAGGACGTCCCAAGGCGCTGAACAGTTGGGTCAGGGCCCGAGCAGTGGGGGGAAATGGTCAGGGGGAGGGAAGGGAGGGAGCGAGCGGGGGGGGGGGGGGAATAGTGAGGGGAGGGAAGAGAGGGAGCGAGGAGTGGGGAGATGGTCAGGGTGAGGGGAGGGAAGGGAGGTAGCGAGGAGGGGGTAGAGAGTCGAGAGGGGAGCTGAAGGCACGGTCGAAGAGAAAGGTCTAGAGACCGGCCTTGAGATCAGGTTGCATCCCGCCAGGGAGAGCGCGCGCATTCCAGTCCAACAATCTATCTCTGGGATCTCCATGTGTAGGTGGGATGCCTGGAATTCTCAGTCTGGTTTGGAGACTTAAGTAAGGTGATGGGTTTCCGCGCGCGTGTGACTGAACCCCCCCTCCCACCAATGGATGAAATAACTTTCTCCAGTTGAATGTCGACGAGATAGAGACTCTCCTGCTTGGCTCCCGTCAGTGTCTCCTCAGCTCAGGAGGTGACAGCATCAATCTACCTCGATGTATTCTCCACCTCATGGAGCCAGTGCGGGAATCTCTGTGTCTTGTTCCGACTCTCAGCTGAGACCCTTATCCAAGTTTTCATCAGGTCCAGGCTGGACTACACCAGCGTTCGTTCCCCTCCACAGGCTGCAAACCATCTGCATCGAACTCTGCAGCTCGAGCATCACAGGATCCTCGATGTTCACTCAAAGAACAAAGTGACGCAAGAATCCTATCACAGCCGACAACTCTCTGGTCTGAATTGCGTTTGCTACGTAGAACACGTGGTCTCCCGTTGCGCTGGCAGCAAGCAAACGAATAGCCCATCCCTCCAAATCTACTGGAAAACACTGATACCGGAGACAGGAGGCATTCCCACAAATTAACGGCAAGTTCCAGCAGCATATGGACCGGGTGGGTTGGATCTACCGCCACCACCACAACAACAAACTACATTTGGATGGTTCCTTTCACGTTGGGAGGGTGTAACATGGCCCAATGTACTATAATGGCGCAGAATCGCTCATGGGAAAGAAAAACAACCATCTCACGTTTCAGCGCCTTGGGACGTCCTACTGATGCGAAAGGAGGTACACAAATGTAATTTGTTGCTGTTGTTGTTGTTGTTGATGATCGATGTATTTAGGGCCATCAAGTGAATGCACTGATCACCAGTGTTTAGCTTGAGAACAACGGCCGTTAGTTGCTCAACAACAAGCTGCCACGAGGCATTGTGTCACTTGAATGCATTGCTGTCAGTTTGGCTTAGTTTATTCGCATTATTATAATATTAATATAACAATAAAATATGATATTATTGTCGTTGGATATGTCTTGCTCCCAATGAAATAATATTATGTTAATATATATTATTCTTTTGAGACATCCAATGCAATTATTATTTCTTAAAATATGGATTCTATGTTATCGTAATATTAATACACACAATTAATATATAGTACTAAATAATATTAGGTTAATGATATATAATGTGTGGGACATGCCTTGCAACCATTGCAATAATATTGTATCATAATATTAATATTGTGGAATGACTTGCAGCCAGTGCAATTAATATTTATTAAATACTGACATTCTACTATCATAGTAAGATAATAATATTAATATAATAATATATAATTGTTGTTGTTTGGGACATGCATTGCAGTCAATGAAATAACACTGCGTGAGCTGCAGTGAGAGCCAATACAACATTATATTACTGTCGCGTTTCTGCCAATGCAATATTATATTACTGCATTATCATTATATTATCATTTATTATTGCTGTGTGTCAGGTCACCCGGCCCTACCGTGTGAGCTTCATATTATTGTATATTATTATTGTGATCACTGTTGTGTGGGACACCGGCCTGTCCTGCTGTGTGAGCTGCAGTGAGAACCAATGCAATAATATATGACTGCATTATTACATTATTCATAATAATTATTATTATTATGTCAGGTCAGTCCTGTTGTTGTGAGCTTCAGTGAGAACCAATACAATAGCATAGCATTATAATACTCTAGAATTATTGATTATTATCATTGCTGTATGTCAGGCCAGTCATGTCTGGTGAACCATTGCAGTATTATATTACTTTATATATTATTATTAATTATTATTATTCCTGTATGTCAGGCCAGGCTTGCTTTGTGGGCTGCAGTGAGAGCCAATGCAATATTATATTACTGTATTATTAGCAATAATATTGATTAGTATAGTATTAAGTATTATTATTGTTGTTGTGTGTCAGGCCTGACAGCCCTGTTGAGTGTGTGAGAGACAGACAGAGCCAGTGTAGTATTATATTACTGTAGTAATAATATTACTAATTATTATTAACTATTATTACTGCTGTGTGCGTGTGGGTGTGTGTGAGGCGAGAGAGAGACAGACAGACAGCGCCTGTTGTGTGAGCTACAGTCAGAGCCAGTGCAGCATTACATTACTGTAGTAATAATATTACTAATTATTATTAAGTATTATTACTGCTGTGTGTGTGTGTGTGTGTGTGTGAGCAGAGAGACAGACAGACAGACACAGACAGACAGCGCCTGTTGTGTGAGCTGCGGCGAGAGCCAGTGCAGCATTACATTACTGTATCAGTAGCAGTAATAATCTTAGTAATAATACTGCTGTGTGTGTGTGTGTGTGTGTGTGTGTGTCAGGGCCTGACAGCCGCTGTGTGTGTGTGTGTGAGGAGGGAGACAGACAGACAGAGCCTGTTACCCGGGGCCGCGCTCACCTACCTCCCGGGGTGGTGCTGAAGAGGGTGCCGCCGGGGGTGGTGCAGTAATCGTGAGGCAGTTGGCCCGAGTCGCTGACGATCACCCTGCGGGTGGGGATGGCTCGGCTCTCGGTTTTCTGCGCTGGGCCCGACATCCTCGGGGTAGCGTGACGGGCCGAGCGGGGCCTCGGGGCGCTCTCTCCCGGCCTCTCCTCTCACGCGCGCACCGCACGGCTTCTTTCACTCACTCCCTCCCTCCCTCACTCACTCAGCTCGGCCGCCCTCTCCTCTCCTCTCCTCGCCTCCCCTCCCCTCGCCCGGCCCCGGCCCAACCCCCCGCCCGCCAGCGACAGCCACACCGCACACCACGCGACACGACACACGACGCCTCACGGAAAGAGCCGAGCGGCCTCTCGCAGCGGACAACATCCACCCGCCCCGAGCCCTCGCTTTCCCGCCCACTCCACCACCCGCTTCGGCGATTCCGACGGAAAGAGCCGAACGCCGCTCGGCTCCGGGCTGGGGAGGCGGGGCGGAGACGACCCCCAACACGTCATCTTCGGCAAACACCGAGCGCGCGTTCGGCCCCGGCGGGGACTTCCAACGGCGGCGCCACGGAAAGTACCGAGTGCCGCTCGGCTGGCTCCGGCGCGGACTTCCAATGACGTCATCTTCGGCGGCGCCACGGAAAGGACCGAGTGCCGCTCGGCTCCGGCGGCGCCTTTCGCCTACGTCATCTTCGGCAACCTGACGGAAAGTGCCGAGTGCTTTCGGCCCCGGGGAGGGGGGGGGGGGGAGCCAACGCTTTACTATCAGTGTAGCACTCGCCTCGCAAGCGAGAGGACCCGGGTTCGATTCCAAGCCCGGCAGCGTGAAAACTTATGCAAGTTTTCTTACTCCACAAGTCTCTCAATTGACGTATTTGCCGGGGGCAATAACCCCCCCCACCCCAAAAAAAAATAGTAGTAATAATAATATAAATAATAGTATTATTATAATTTAGTCGGCCAATCCACGGCTGTTTGCGGACACGCTGCCGTGTGCAATTGGCTGCCGTGTTTCGCCCACCAAGTACACAGTCAATTCACTTCACGGTATATTCTGGGAAGCGCTTTGAGACGTCTCGACGACGTGATCAGGGGCTACATCAAATGCAAGGATTATTATTATTATTATTATTATCATTCACAAAGAGAAGGGAGTTTCTCTCTCTCTCTCTCACTCCCCTGCTGTCCTGGCCAACAATCCTACAGATCAATTGGCCACTCACGTCACGGCTGATGGTGCGAATTGCTGAGCGCACAAATTGGCCTGCCGCGTTCACAAAATATAGTCGCTACGCTCTACAGTTTATCAACCACTGCGACAAAATTATCCGACGATAAATGCGGGGATCGTTGCTTATCGAAGTGACAGAGAAGTAAAGAGCAAAATTAATATGGGTGGACGTTTCAACGCTTCGGGGGGGGGGGGGGGGGGGTGTAGTGGAGTCCTGTAGCTCAGTGGTTAGAGCACTCGCTTTGCAAGTGAGAGACCGGAGTTCAATTCCAGGCAGAGGGCGAAACCTTGGGCAAGTTTCCTTACTCCACACAGAGCCTAATAATAATCCCTCCAAAACAAAAAAAACAATAATAAATTGGTCATTTTCAATCTACGACTGTTTGTGGGACATTGCTGTGCGCAATTGGCCGCCGCGTTTGCCCACAAATATACAGTCAATTCACTTTACAGTCTATTCTGTGAAGCGCTTTGGGATGTCCTCCCGACGTGAAAAGTGCTATATCAAATGCAAGGATTATTATATATTATTATTATAGTGGCTGAAAACGCCAGTCGCGAGAATGCTGGAACCACCCACGGGGGTGACCATCCCACTTCAAAGGTTTCGCACTTACATGACGGAGGTTTGTGCACTGAGCCGGGCAGATGGGGCGTTAATTGCTTCCCGAATGATAGGCTTTAAACTGAACATTTAAACTGCTACGCGGGGACTGTTGCAAAACACATAAGGTTTTGGAGTGCTTTTCTCCTTCCAAGTCCCACGGTAACATTTGATGTTATGTTTACTCTGCCACGGGTAGCCTCGTCTGGGGTTGATGAGGAGAGAGGTACGTTGTAAGGGAAGGAGATTTCCACCTCCACTACTCCTCCTCGCCAGTCTTTCCAGCTCCACTACCCGCAAACTGCAACCGATTTCAGAACTCCGCCGCTGATATTCTCGCGCCCGTTAAACTCCACAGCCCTCATCCCATCAGTCCTCGCCAGGCTCCACTGGCTCCCCATCACCGAACTGCTTCACAATTGCTCCAGGTGAACCGACGTGGACAGCTTTCAGATACAAGAGGGCAGAAATCTGCCTGCAATTATTTTGCACTCCATTAGGCAGCGCCATTTACTCAACGTGACCAAACTTGAGATGCCAAATTTCCATGGAAAATAATAATGCGGGTGTTTGCGTCCGATCACATCATTGAATTTCTTGAAGCACTTCACAGGAATTACTGTCGTACAACATTATCAATCATCCTTGCATTTGAGATAGTGTCTCACAGCGCTTCGCAGAATGTATTGTAAAGTGTAGTGACTGTGTATTTTGTGGGCGAAACGCGGCAGCCCATTGCGCACAGCAGCGTCCCCACAAACAGCCGTGGGTTGAGTGACCAAATGATAATTTTTAAAGATGTTGGGAGGGAATATTGGAGTAAATAGGAACCCGGTTGTAAGTCGATTGGCAGATAAAGCAATCCGCCAATCATCTAACGACCTCGTTCCTACTTCCTGCAGGTAAACAGGTGTGTGTGTGGAGTAAGGAAAGTTGGCTAAGGTTTCACCCCAACTGGGAATTGGACCCGGATCCTCTCTCCTACGAGGCGAGCGTGCTAACCACTCTGCTACGGATTAGAAGAAAATGAATACAAAAGGATTTATTTTTAACCTTTAATACGTGTACATTACGCATGCCCCATTGCCCCATTTCTGTTTCCTTCTCCCATAACATAACAGCCAACATCAAGGTACAAAAATAGTGTTTTTTTTTTTGCAGTGAAAATATCAAACAGCAATTTTTTTCAAGACAACAAAAAAAAAGACATGAATTAAACCAATGACCACCTCACAGGTATCTTACATTCAAATACAGGTATAAATTTGTGTTAAACAGAACTCAGATAGTACAAGTATCCAGCCCCTTCGCTCTTTAAATATCTTCGAATAATAATCCTTGCATTTGATATAGTCACGTCATTGAGGCGTCTCATGGTTGTTAGTTGATTGGCAGATCGCTCTTCCAGGGGTAATAATCCCCTGAAAAAAATGTGGTCAATCAATCCACGACTGTGGGTCACCGCTGTGCACAATTGGCAACGTTTAACCCACAATCGTCAATTCACTTCACAGTATATTCTGTAAAGCGTTTTGAGACGTCTCAAAGAAGTGCGATGTCCAATGCAAGTATTATTATTATTATTATTAAATGCCTTGGCACCAATGTACCTCAATTTTCAGAGTTTAGTGTTGAACAGCCGCAATGATGATCTGTCCTTGTGTTCTTTTGACACATTGGGATGTGAATGGCAGCTCGATTGTGTTTAGTTTCTGGTGCACTGTCTCTCACACGAGGCTCCCCCAGGGAGAAGCCAACTCCATTTAGCTGATAATACTGAGGATATTTGAAAGCATTTCTGGCACATCGTGCTCTCACTGCACGGAAGTTATCTCATGCTGCACAGAACGTAACACAGAAACCGTTTCTATGGTGTCTCCATCCCATCGACAACTCTGCCTCATCCCCTCTGTTATCGCTGCCTATCTCCTCCATTAACACTGCCTCCTCCCTTTGTTAATACACTGTCTATCCCCACTGTTCGCATGCCCTCCATCCCCTCCATTAACACTACTTAACCCCTCGCTTCAACTGCATTTCATCCCTTCCATTGACACCGCCTCTATCACCTCCATTAACACTGCCTCATCCCCACTGTTCACATGCTCTCCTTCCCCTCCATTCACACTGTCTCAGCCCTCTGTTAATACTGCCTCCGAATGTCCCTTCCAGTAACACTGTCTCATCCCCTTTCAACCGAGTTGTTCAGATCTGGAATGCACTGCCTGAAAGAGTGGTGGAAGCGGATTCCATTAATTAATTTGGACAGCTCCTTTCAAAGAGCCAGCACGGGCACGATGCCCTGAATGGCCTCCTTCTGTGCTGTATAATTATGATTACACTGCCTCCACCCTCTCTGTTAACACTGCCACTCATCCCTTCCATGAACATTGCCTCAATCCCCCTTGGAGATTGGCTCGTATGAGGCTATCCTTTCGCCTATCTGATCTCTTTTAACACTTGCCTCCATCGACATATCTTCATTCCTTCCACAAATTGCCAGGACAAAGTGGTAGGGAGGGAAAGAAAAGGGAAAGAGAGTGTAGAATAATGACAACAATTTGGCGGGGTAATTTACCATCCTCATATGCAAATTAAGGATTGCAAGTGGACGTGTCCCCTCTTCGGCAACTGAGGGAAGGATTCTGACCATAAAAAGGCCCCATTTGCATCAAGTAATTGGTACAATACAATTACCATTGGGTACCCTAATTCGGGGAGGGGCTCAATAACCAGAAAAGAACAAGCGCCATGTACTCTTAGTCGCTTTTACATGATAACATCTGAAAGGTACGAGCTTGAGGTACAAACCCTCTGAGTCAAGAGTTGGTTCAGTGAACATATATTAACCTCATATTTAATAGGCTGCTGTTAAAGTTGATTAATTATTTGTGTAATTCAATGCTATTTGTTGAAATCACTTGAGAACTATTTCCGAGGAGTTTTGGATTCTGAACAAACCACAATAAAGTTTTCTTAACCGTGTCTCACTCAAGCTCTGTTAATTCTCGATATAAGGAGGGAATACACAAACAGGTTCAGCCTCGGTCACAGAGGTGTCCGAAAATAAATCTCTGGTTGACTTGTTTTATTTTAAATAGCAATTAGTAGTATCTGTCGATGTGGAACAACTCATTAGTCAAGTTACACCTAGTTATAGGGACTTGCATATATTAGTGAGGATTGATTACAGAGGCCACCCAGTACACTCCACAAGGGGGGGAACAAACCATATCGCGGAGTTACAAATTAAGGGTGTAGAACCATCTCACCCATTACCAATGCCCTTAACGTTACCCAAACAATGACCTGAATCACTTGACCTGTTTGAGTAATCAGGCCACCTCACTAAGTAGATTACTTTTGCCCAGTCACTTGAGTGACCTGATTAGTGAGGTTCTACTGTATACTGTATATTATTAATGTGATAAGGCGCTACATCAAATGTGTGTATTATTACATTCCACATTTAACTCCTGTAGCTCAGCGGTTACGCCAATCGACTAAAAACCGGGTTCCTACTTACTACTCGGTAAACAGGGGTGTGGAGTAAGGAAACTTACCTAAGATTTCGCCCAAGAATCGAACCCGATCCTGTTGCTTAAAGGCGAGTGTTCTAACCAATGTCCTGCACTCACTATTTAATGAGGATAAATGCACCCATACAACTTAAAACCATCAGCCGATGCCATTCAATGGCAGATCATCATTACTGCAGCTGGACTGATCAATTCAACATGAACTGCATTGATTATTTCACTGCATCCGACGGCAATGCAACCACACATTAGACACACGCTCCATCCAAGACCAGATCGATTTGATAACTTTACCCAAGTGCTGCTCTTAGCATTGAACACTAGCTTAGTCCATCTCAAATGGAGCAGCAATCTACCACCCACAACCAAAAATAAAATTCACAATATTTTTAGCGCAAGCGGAGAAGCATTTATGTTTCTGTACATCTTTTTTCAACATACCGAGCCCTTCAAAAACACATACTGTACACATAACATTACTGTCCTTCTTCCACTACTTGTCGCATCATACCAGCCCTCGCCAGGTTCCACTGGCTCCCTAACAACGAATGGGTCGATTTCAAGATCCTCACACTCGTCTTCAAATCCCTTCATGCCCTGGCACCTCCCTACCTCTCCGACCTGTTTACTCCCCAACCTGCGACCTCCGTTCGACTGGCTCCGGCTTCCTGTTTGTTCTTCATGCTCTCTATTCCATCATCGGCGGCCGTGCTTTCAGCCATTACGCCCGCTACAGAACTGTGGAAGGGGACCTGGTCAGAATCTCGTGTGGAGGTGGATGACAGCCTGATCAAGATAAAACTCGGTGAGTGGATTTGCTGTGGCTCAACCCGCCTGCAGCCCACGTTCAACCTGAAGATGACGACAACGTTCAGGTAGGGCAGGCAGAGTGGGACAAGAAACTGGATGAGTATGCCTGCCCACCGGGATATATGAGTGACAACAAGTAGCGTAAGTGTAACCTGGGCATGTGTACGGACTGCACGGTCCAGCTCGGCCTGCAGGTCAAGCTGCAGCTCTGTAAGACCCAGAACAAAGGCTGGGGTATCTATCTGTTGTCTGGACGGCATCGCCAAGGGTACGTGTGTGTGTGTATATACGCAGTTAAAATACCAATGGACAAGTTTGTGGACAAGGAGGGTCTGGAGATTGGGGGATGAGTACTTTTGCCAACTTGGACATCGAGAGCGTTGGGGAAGTACAAGAAGGGGTACGAGAGAGAAGCCTCCAACAGCAGTGAGGTGGACCTGAAGGAAGAGAACGAGGAGCACAGTGACTCTACATTGCCAGCTCTGTGCGGGATAGTTACGTGACATGGACCCGGGAGCAGAAGGAGAACGGATCAAAGGCAGCCTCCAGCAATGCTGGGATGACCAGATGGACAGACAAGTCAGGAACACATCTCCTCCTCCAGCGGCTGTAAGCTCCCCTTTAACGAGGAGACAGCCAAGAACGAGGTTGCCTCTTGGCTGAGCGTCTTGGAAGACACCAATCTTCCTTCCGCGTGATGGACTCCAGTGACCACAAGGTCCTCACGGAAAAACCAACCACCGAGGGAGAGAGCGAACCGGGGCAGGAGGAGCCACTGAAACCTTACTCCTCCTCCAAGCACAAGGTGGACAAGAAGGAACCAAAGTCTGAGAGGCCTGAAGCTACCGTTCACCGCAATATATCGTTACTGTTCGACAGCACCTCGAGGAACTTTAGCTACAACCTCAGACTAGTGCCTATTATTGAGGGCATCAGGAATCCTGTCAGCAAGATCACCCTCCCCCATGCCAGGAGGAACTCTGTCCTCACCCTCCCTAAAGACGAGGTAATGATGGTATCCAGCAGCTCAGACAGTGAAATAGACACAGACATCCAGACTAGTGGCAGTCGCAAACAGCCCACACAGGGCTCCAGGGTGACCGCTGGCAGCAACGAGGGCCTGAAGCAGGTTGCTATTAAATCCACGCAAAGCTTTTTTTCTGAAACCTACACATGGGATCGCAGTGAAAGCCAGCAATATGGAGGAAGGAGAGGCTGCTGCCTTTTGCAAAAGCACCAGACAATGGTTCTTAGCGACTAGCATCGTTCTGTGTCTTGCTTGAGCTTACAATCGATTGTACACAGGCTTTATTTAGGAACCGATAGTGACAAGGGTCAAATGTTAAAATATCCTTCAAACTGGATTACATTCCACTTAATAGCATTCCACATTAAGCGCTCTGGGACGCTACCCTGAGTGAGGGGCACTATATAAATGCAAGTAGTTGTTGTTGTTACTAATAAACATCAGAATGATACACCTGTCATTTCTGAACTGTTAAATCTCATTTCTGAAATCCAGAACAGCGCAAACTGAAGCAAACAAATTAATCTTTTGTGCAAAAATAAATCCCCAGTATTCTTGAGTTGCCGCGTGGTTCAGGTTGCAAAAAAATCTATACTCAGAAGCTGAAGAAAATGGTTGCATTGCTTCCCCTAAGGACCTTCTTGCAAGGCTGAAGCTCTGCAGAAATCATCGCGGCTGTCCCAAAACTATCCTGATTTAGTCCTTCAAGACTATCAGTGGTATTGTCCTTGTGATAATTCCATCAAACCCAGTCCACACTGGCTTGCTGGAATCCATATCATTTTCACTACACCGTTTTGGTCATAGGGACATAAGAATTGCTAGACGAAAGAAGACCAAGGTCCATCCAGTTCATCTTCCACCATCCTGGCAGTCGCATGCACATTTCATGTCCTAAACTATATCTTGGTGATTTCACAAGATGAGAGAAAGAGAGGCACTGTAACCCAGATCTGATTGTCGGCAAGTGTTGATTGTGAAGAAGCTGTGATACGGGCACTTAAGTGGGTGGCTTGAAGGTGCCACATCCCCCCCACTGACTGGAGTGAGTTTGTGACAATTTTATTTTCGTTGACCGTTGGTCCTTTTGAAACGTACTGGCTTGTTCCCTCAGACCTTCTGAACAGGGAAATGGAATCTGACTTCAGGGAGCAATGACCTCTGACGGGATAAACTGAGGCACAAGTGCGTGTCTGAGTTTGCTAGAGAGACAACAGCAGGACACTAATGCAACACCACCATATTTACTGCCTTGGAGAAAGCCAACATCTAGTTTATAAATAACCTGGCCCCACGATTGATTTTTTTGCCTCCTTTTGTTGCAGTGATATCACTGAGTGAGCAGCGCACAGAGAAAAAACAATCAGCTGTTCCTGGATTCCATCCAAAGTAAAGTGATCCTGAATATCGTGTCTGGATCTGTAAACCTCTGCCTTTGTTGCTGTCTCACTCACACACCCCGCGAAACAGCATTCATTGAAGGAGGCTGAAATGAACCCCTTGAAGTAACGATACACCCTGCATACTGTCTCCTCCGGGGCCCCTTTGTACCATTGCCACAAAGGAGAATTTCAGGCACAGGCAGCTGGGAAACCTGTGATTTATTCAGATCAAATATCACCATTTGAAAATCAAACCCTGCAAAAATAAAGGGATTCACATCTCCCAGAGCCCAAGTCCTCTCCTCAAGCTCTTTGTTTGGTCCACTGTGTCTGTTTGGACCATGCTGTTAAGTACTTGCTTGAGTATTGGCGCCATGCTGCCTCTGCTCGGTTGGCTCTGGCCTCCTGTTTGTCCCTCGTCCCCTCCGCTCCACCATCGGCGCCTCGCCTTCAGCCATTTGGTACTCTCTCCCGCAATCTCTCCTTCACCTTGTCCCCTCCTTCCCCTGTTTTAGACCACGACTTTTAGATCACGACCTTCCTCTTCAACCGTGCTGACAGTTACCTCCTCCCTCCCTCCCTCTCCCGGATCAGACTCAGGTTCCGTCACTGTTAAGCGCTCCAAGACTCTGCCCGTCATGAAGAGCGCTGAGTAAATGCAAGTTGTTGTACTTCACTATCTAACAGCACTTTTTAACATACCTAAGGAATAACCGTTGCTGATAAATGCCAATTCTAACACTTCAATTCACTTATTTTTATATATTATATAATATATATATATTTGTACAAAATCAGTACATTCTGTATTTAAGGTCAGTGTGTTAAACTATAAATCACTGCTTTAAATATTTCCTTCAAACTCAACCAATTCAAGTTACACAAAATACTTATGCGGGGAGATATTTTATATCTAATAATCTCCCGTTAATTTAAACCCTGATTTATTTATCTCCAACAGCAGATATTACTGTATGAATGAACTGTACCACCTCAGAATGTGCCCAAATCTGCTTCCTAGATTATACCAGAGTTCATGCAAAGAGAATTAGACTCAGGAGATGGTACAGTACAGGGCATGCTTTCCACAACTGCATCCTCTATACCAGATCACAGTTAGCTCGGGAGTTAAATGCAAGTCTTTGCTGCCTCACAGCTTGTCTCACTGCTCACGGAGTCATGTCGTATTCACCAATGGTTTTGCCTCCCCTTCGACTGTGCAATCTCGTCAGCATTTGAGGTACAGTGGGCTCAAAGATCAGGCTTTAATGCTTCTTATGTGAGAAAGAAGTTACCGCTGGATGGGGGGGGCGGGGGCAGGGGGCAGTTTTGGGTGCCAAGCCAAGCTATCAGGCCAAGCCTTACCACACTGATCCAAGCTGCCGGTAAACAACTTTTGTGGCGGATTCTTATTCGTGATCCGTAAAACAGTCGCTCCAGCCAGGCCCGAGTCTCAAACTACAGTGGAGGAAGAGGGAGAGGAGGCAGACGGCGAGCTGGAGTGCCAGAAAAACCACTTGTGCTTGAGCTGGCGTTTCTGGTACAAGTAGTCTTCCTTCGCACGCTCCTTGCGGGTGCGCTGGTAATGATCGTTCTCTTTCAGGTACCATACGGGAGGCCAGCGGTGCTTCTCAAAATAGTCCTGGTTTTCTGAAAAATAGATAAATAATAATAATAATCCTTGCATTTGATATCGCACCCTCTCACGTCGTCGAGACATCTCAAAGTGCTTCACGGGATATACTCTGAAGAGTAGTGACTGTGTATTTTGTGGGTGAAACACGACTGCCATTAATAATAAAACAGTGTCCCACAAACAGTCATGGATTGAGTGACCAATTTTTTTTATTTTGGAGGATTGTTACCCCGGAAAGCGATCCGCCAATTGACTAACAACCGGGTTCCTGATTACTGCTAGGTAAACATGCCCTGGCGACTCACCAGGAGATTTTGCCTTCATTTCTCTGGGAAACTTACGACACACGTTGTTGTAGTTGGTACAGATGTGGTGTAGGCACCATTCGGATAGCTGATGGGCACAGTGGAACTGCACAGGAACAAACGGGTACAACAACAACAAATTACATTTGTCCAGCGCCTTTCGCATCAGGAGGATGTCCCAAGGCGCTGGACAGTTAGAGAATCGCACCCGAGCTGGTGGTTGGGATCAGGAGTGTGGAGGGCAGGGCGGGATAGGAGGGTGACCGAAGGCGCGGTCGAAGAGAAAGGTCTTGGGACGGTCTTGAATGAGGCGAGGGAGGGAACGAAGCGGAGGGACTGTGGGATGGAGTTCCAGAGAGTGGGGGCTACAGGTGAATTCCATGATTGAGCTAAACGCTGGATATGGATCGACTGTATAACACACCATTTCATTTCAGCTTAGGAAATGTAGGAATTCTACGCTGTTGAACACAAATACAACAACAACCACCACCCTCATATCCACCTTTAACGCACGACACCAGGAGAGAGAAATTCCCTTCTCTTTTCGAATAGGGCCCCGGGATATTTAACGTCCACCTGAACAGGCAGATGGGTCCTCAGTTTAACAGCTCACACAAAGGATGGTGTTTCCGACAATGCAACACCGCTCCAGCCATGCATTTGGGCGTCAACCTAAACTGTATGACTCCAAGTCCCGATGACATGGGTTTTGAACCCACAACCTTTAGACCCAGTGTTATCACTGAGCCAAGTTGACACACCTGGCACAGTGGTAGATTGATTCTTGATAACTAATAATAATCCTTGCATTTGCTATAGCGCTTTATACTCGAAAGTATAAGAGACATCTCATAGTGCTTTATACTGTAAAGTGAGTTGACTGTATATTTTGTTGGCGAAACGTAAAGATATTAAGGGAAATGGAAAAATATTGGGAAATGGAATGGAAGATTTACTACAGACTTAATAACTCTCCTAAAACCACTTTGCCTCATTCCTTCTCTCCTAGCGTTCAAAATCCTACAAACCATATCACTTTGACTTCCTTTAGTTAGTTCTAAGTTCATTCACCTCTTGCTCCACGTCTTCTGCTTTCTTTAAGTGCTTTGAGGTTTAGTTATAATCCTTGCATTTGATATACTGCCTAGTCAAGTTTTTGAGACGTCTGAAAGCGCTTCATAGAATATACTGTAAAGTGAATTGACTGTAAATTTTGTGGACCATGCAGCAGCCAATTGCGCACAGCAGGGTCCCCACAAATAGTCGTGGAATGAGTGACCATATAATATATATATTATAAAGATATATCTTTGGAGGGATCATTACCCCCAGAAAGTGATTCACCAATCAACTAACAACCGGGTTCCTACTTACCGCTGGGTAAACAGAGGTGCGTGGAGTAAGAAAACCTGTCTAAACCCGTGAATTAAACCTGTGTCCTCTCGCTTGTGAGACCGGTGTTCTAACCAATATGTCAAAGCACTCAAAAATAATTTAACATAAAAATACTATGTAAATACAAGTTTTAATCTGATCTATTTTTTCCTCCAAAGACTAACTGACCTGTTGGGAAGTTTTGTTATAAATTTCCAGCATCTGTATGTTTTAATGTTATTCCTCCAGCATTCAAGCGGATACAGAGAGAGCTGACAATATCCTTCCCAAGCTGACCTCAATGCTGGCCTGTTGTTACTGTATTTTCTACCTGTGCTATTTCCAGATATAGTAGAACATCTCCGTCAATGTCCACGGCTTGCTTTGCTGCTTCGAAAAGCCCCGACACTGTGTACTGTTCTGTAACGAATCAGAGCAGCAACTTTAAAAGATAATAATATTTGCATTTGATATAGCACCTTGTCATGTTGTTGAGACGTATCAAAGCGCTTCACAGAATATAGTGTAAAGTTGACTGACTGCATATTTTGTGGGCGAAACGCGGCAGGTGTGTGATTCGAGTAAGGAAACTTGTCAAAGGTTTCGCCCTGACTCGCCCGGGAATTGAACATAGGTCCTATCGCATGTGAAGTGACCACGCTAACTACGCTACGAGACTGAAGAAGTAATGAGAAGATGGCTACGTGTAGCGATGGGCGTATAATTGAACCCAGGGTTTTCCAAACACAGAATGGCAAGGCTGTGATGTGCACCTGTTAACGCCACCAGGTGGGGAAGACAGAGGCGATTTGCGAGGACTATGAGTTCCATGCAGTCGAGGTCCGGGCTGGAGCAGAATTGTCCTGTGTACAGATACTCCAGTACTGCCCGCATGCAGCTCTTACTTGTGTTTGGAAAGGACACCTGTCAAAAGAGTAAAGCCAGGTTCAGAGTTTTATAATAATCTTTTATTAAAATCCTTTAATAATAATCCTTTCTTTCTGACAAACTTTACACAGTGAATGAGATGCAAATGGACCCTGCTCCGCAGGCATTGTTCTCAATGTGGGATAGTTTTATTGGAGCGTCCAAGATCCATGTAAGCCAAATCCCTAACCCCACAAGTCAAAGCCCTATTGGATAGGGTGGTCCTAGCTGGACAAGCAGCGGGAAAGTTTGCCAGACAGTGCACTCAATGGCAAGCTATGTGGTTTTAGCTGGTTAGACTCCAGCAGTTACCCCAACGCACACTCTGGGTCCCCCCCCAAGCCTTGCCTCTCGCCAACCTGCGCCTAATACTTTCCGGAAATATGTAAGCAGGGGGCGTTCCTCCAGGGAGTGAGAGAGAGAGAAAGAGAGTGTGCATTCCATTTCAGCAATCTATCTCTGGAGTTTCCAAGTGTAGGTTGGATGCATGAAATATTCAGCTTGGTTTGGAGACTCTGTGATGGTTTTCCACATGTGTCAGACACCCAACTGACCCCAAAAAAAGGCCGTTGTGATTAAAGCAAAGCTTGAAAGTACATATCACAACAAAGGATTTCAGCGCTGTTACATCTTTGAATGAACATAACGTGACCTGAGAGATATTAAACACACGCTTTCTGAGCGGTTATGCTGATCTTCACCGCTGCACCCAGTCTTTGAATAACACAGATACGCTGTTGTTCTCTCAACAGTTCCAAAAATAGTGCTACAACCTTCAGGCAGTTAGCAGGCCGGCTCTTCACAAAGCAATGAAGGTCAGAGACTGTGCAGCTCATTGTGACAGCAGCTCTTTCAATTATTACTGAAAGAGGAACAAAGGCATTCTGGAATCTGCAGCTGACATCAGTTCTGACCTGGTATGCAGGCAGGCTTTAAGAGATGTGCACAATCTGCATCGTATCATATTTATATAATGATTGGTCTGTGGAAATTATGACAAGCTGTATTATATAAAGCGGAAGAAGGGCAAAGTACAGCCACGTATTGGAGCTCACCTCCACGAAGGCTGCAAATATTTTGCAGGAAGGAAGATTCGTTGCCGTTAATGCCCCAGAGCAGGAGATATTTCTGTCTGCACTCTGACATCGGGTTATGATTCCAAAAATTTAAATTTAAGTCAAAAACAATTTTTATATAATAATCCCTGCATTTGATATAGCGCCTTATCACATCGTTAAGATGTCTCAAAGCGCTTCACAGGATATACTGTAAAGTGAATTCACCGTGTATTTTGTAGGTGAAATGCAGCAGACAATTATGCACAGGAGCATCCCACAAACAGTCGTGGATTGAATGAGCAAATTAATATTATTATTTATTTGAAGAGAATATTACCCCTGGAAAACGATCCACCAATCGACTAACAACCAGATTTCTACTTCCTGCTGGGTAGCAGAGGCGTGTGGAGTAAGGAAATTTGCCTAGAGGTTTTGGCCTGTCTGGGAATTGAACCTGGGTCCTCTCGCTTGTGAGGCGAGTTGCCTTAGAAGAAGAAATGCCTGACTTACCTCTTTGGTTGAACTCTCCACAAATGGACCTCCGAACATGGCTGCCATCCAGTCACAGCTGGAGATCAGCAAAGGCTTATGGGCACAGATTGTTCCATCATCTGGTTTGAAAACGACATCTGCCGGGAAAAAGGAGGGGAATGGGAATAAGCAGAAAACTGGGAATATACACAACAACTGAATGGTCTCCTTCTGTGCTGAAACAAATCGCTGATTCTACTACATGTTAATGGATATACTGTATTCAGCTGAAAACTGGAGAATAATAATCCTTGCATTTAATATAGCATTTATCACGTTTTTGAGATGGCTCAAAGCGCTTCACAGTGTATTGTAAAGTGAATGGACTGTATATTTTGTGGGTGAAACGCAGCAGCCAATTGCACACAGCAATGTCCCACAAACGGTCGTGGATTGAATAACTAAATTATTATTTTTTTGAAGGGATTGTTAACCTCGGGAAGCAATCCCTCAAGCACCTAACAACTGATTACACAATTAATTAAAAAATGCGAGGTAACATGAAGGACAACTTCTCAACAATTTGGCGTAACAATACAGCGATTTTAAAAAATGATTTATCCATAGCATAATTTTATGTTATAATAATAAGTGTTTCGCCTACAAAAATCCAGTCACTGTCCTTTACAGTATATTCTGTGAAGCGCTTTGAGACATCTCAACGACATGATAAGGCACTATATCAAATGCAGGGATTATTATTATTCATAATCCTAGACGAGAGAACAGCACTAACTCTATAATGAATTCTTTTGATGCGTACAAATCAAATCCACGGGGACTAAAAAAGGATTTCTCAGAAATGCCTGCAGAATGATATCGAAGCAGTGTTCTCTAATAAAGCAGGTTCGAGGAACTGATCCTAGTTAGATCAGACAGCAGATTCTTTGGGTTATTCCATTGCAGGGAATAAAGGGTGAAAAGACATTGTTTCATAACAGTTTCCATGCGCTGTAGAATGTGCTAAAGAATCTATGATGAAGAATTGCATTTTTGTCTTAAGTACACATGAGTTTTAATAATAATACTTGCATTTGTTGAGAAGTTTCAAAGCGCTTCACAGAATATACTGTAAAGGGAATTGCCTGTACATTTTGGGGGCGAAAAGCGGCAGCCAATTAATTGCACACAGCAGTGTCCCACAAACATTTGTGGATTGAGTGACTACATTTCTTTTTGAGGGATTATTAACCCGGGAAACAGTCCACCAATCGACTAACAACCGGTTAAACAGAGGCGGTGTGGAACAAGGAAATTTGCCTAAGTTTTCGCCCTAATTTTATATCAAAACCCAATGAAAGCCGCTCACCTGAGAAGGTCCCTTTAGCAAGGCATTCTTTGACCCGGTTCGCTCTTCTGACATGGAACGCTTTGGTGATCTCTTGGTTCATGAAGGCCTCATTGTTCAATATATTGGCCACCATCATACGCAGGTCAAAGACCTCCAGCAGCTCGGCAATGTGAGCGATCTGCATCAGGTCCTTCTCATTCTCATCCAGCTGACCTACGTACAAATAGCGCATGACAGCTCCAAAAGCATCCCGCTGGACTGAGTCGTCCATCCTCACCACGGTCATCAGCCGAGTGTTGTAAGTGATGGGATCTTCCGCCATCTCTTCTTGGATGCTGACAAAAGCCCTGCTCCACGACGACAGAATCTTTCCCCTCCTGAACCCACTCTTTCCTTGCGCTCCATTATCCGAACCGTTCAGTTTTAAGATGCCATCACTCGTCGAGGCCCTCAGATTGGAGCTGGAGTGGTTGGCTGGACTGTCATCTGTGCTTTCGCTGATATCAAAGCTGGCAGCTCTCATCAAGTACTCCCGGCCTTGCTTGCCAGTGTGGCCGACAAACCTTTCACTGCTCGGCTCTGGATCTTCATTCAGATCCATCACAAACAGGTCGTAGAACTTCGAGGAAGAGGTAGACAAGTAAATCTTATGAGCGTAGATTTTAACTTTGTCCTGAAGTACTAAGATGACGTCCGCACAGAGTGGTTTAGCTAGTAGGCAGGCTGGATGCTCTTCACTAGTTTTGGGAGGACATGGGACAGTGATGATGGGTGGAGGGGGTTTGGGGGGCAGGAAGGGGGCTTGCAGCAAAGATTTTTGAACATTTCTGAGGTGGGACTTCCAGAACTGGAGGTGTCGCCTGGAAATTAATGCTGCTCTGATGGCGTTATCAAAGACATCCTTGATGCCAAACTGGGCAACCACACTGGTTTCGAAATAGGGGATTCCCAACTCCTTGGCCACCTCACGACCCTTCTCGGGAGGCAAGATCTCGTTGTGTTTTATTGGCCTGTGAAAGCAAATGAAACAAGGTATGAGTTTGATTTCCAATTTGGAAAATATTTATGCAATTCTTTCCAATATAAAAATAATAATAATCCCTGCATTTGATACAGCGCCTTATCTCGTCGTTGACAAGTCTAAAAGCACTTCACAAAAGTGAAGTGGATGCGTTGACTCTGGGCGAAACGTGGCAGCCAATTGTGCACAGCAGTGTCCCACAAAGAATCATCATGGATTGAGGGACCAAATGATTATTATTTTATTTATTTATTAAGGGATTATTACTTCCAGAATGAGATCTGCCAGTCGACCAATAATCGGGTTCGTACTTACTGCTAGGTAAACCGCTAGGTGGAGTAAGGCATGTGGAGTAAGGAAACTTGCCCTCCCCGGGAATCGAACCCCAGTCCTCTTGCCTACGAGGCAAGTGTTCTAACAACTCAGAACTCCACAATTAGCAATGTGACAATTATCAGTAATTATTACATCACTTTCGCCCCATGCTTCCTTCCTTCACAATACCTTGCAAGAGGTCGTCGTGCACGGTTAACTGCTTCCAGGTCAGCGTATCGCAAGTCCAGCTGACATCCCACCAAAACCACAGGCGCCCTCGGGCAGAAATGCTTGATCTCTGGGTACCACATGGTCTTCACGTGATGCAGAGAGTTAGGGTTTGCAATGGAGAAACAAAGCACAACCACGTCGGATCTGAGGGTGAAGCAGAGGAAAAACCTAGTTAAATCTTCTGAAGAAACTTAGATTGATGCAAACTGGATCACCACGTTTGAGCGGTTTCAGAATAGCTCTACGACAGATGAATATTGCACGTTGAAGGCTGCACTGCGCTGAATACACAATCGCTACATTGAGACCGGTTTGAAGCCACTACTCCAATGTCCAGCTGTACAAAACAGTGCAAAACAATAGAATTCTGAATTGTGGTGGTGTATAGATTTAATAAATCTAATAAATTTAATAAAGCGAAACATACAGGAACATTAGGGACAGGAGAAACCTATTCACTCCCTCAAGTTTGTTCTGCCATTCTATTAGATCTATTAGATCATGTGCCTCAACTCCAATTATTTATTCCAATCAAAATATTTGGAAGCTCAGATTTCTCATGGCGCTAATCATTATGTTGTGTTTGGCGTAACTGACTGCTTGGAAACATGGGGAAGGGGTGAGAATGAGGGGGGGTGGGGATTTTTCCCACTCAAACTGACCCCCGTTGTCGCTGTTGAGCTGTGACTTTGCTGTACCTGCCGTACGCAAACCGCCTGTCCTTGTGGTGATCACCGAATGTGTCCCAGAGACGCAACGATACACTGACGTCATCTACTACATCACGAGAACGTTCCAGAACCTATACAAAAAAACAAGAACAATTTAGTTGACAATTTTAACAAGGATGCAAGTTTCCTGTTTAGGGAATTAAGGGATGTTCCTGCCCCAACTGTCTAAAAGCGCTTTCAGATGTCTGAAAGCGCTCTGGGATGCTAACTAAACTGCACATTGGGAGCTATACAAAGTGCAAATTGTCGTTGATGATAATAATAATCCTTGCATTTGATATAGCGCCTTATCATGTCGTTGAGATGTGTCAAATCTCTTCACAGAGTTTATGTAAAGTGAATTCACTGTGTATTTTTTCCAGGGGTAAAAATTAAAGGAATTTTTACCCCTGGAAAGCGATTTGCCAATTGATTAATAACTAGGTTCCTACTTACTGCAAGATAACCAGAGGCATGTGGAGTAAGAAACTTGCCTATGGTTCCGCCTCGCCCAGAAATCTAACCCGAATCCAGTCACTTGCAGGGCGATTGCTCGAACTGATCTACTACAGGACTCCGCACAACTCCACGCATCTTACATGCATCTTACTGCAGGACCAATCTTACTGCATTTGAACTCACCTCTTGGCATACACGGTACTGGTCAATAGCCCACACTGTTGGCACGTGCGTGGCTAATAGCTGGTATTGTGTGAGAGTGGCATTGCAAGCTCTGGCGCATATCAGCCTAGTCTTTCCCACTGCGTTATCTCCCACGACGACACACTTGATGGTTTCGACGTTTGGCCTCTCGTAATCCATGTTTGAATCCATCAATTGTGGTCTAGACACAAAGAGGAGGCAATAATTGTGTTAAAAGACAATAAATATGTCAAAAGAATCTTGTACGAGAGAGGACCCGGGTTCGAATCTCAGGCGGGGCAAAACTTTAGGCAAGTTTCCTTACTCCACATGCCTCTGTTTACCCATCAGTAACTTAGAACCTTGTTAGTCGATTAGCGGATCGTTTTCCAGGGGTAATAATACCTTCCATATAAATAATAATTTGGTCGCTCAATCCATGGCTGTTTGTGGGACATTTCACATAATTCATTTTACACTTTATTCTGTGAAGCGCTTTGAGACGTCTCAACGACATAAGGCGCTACATCAAATGCAAGGCCTGAGGAAAGTGTGAGACAAGGGGCCACTGCCGGGAAGAAACCTGCTAAAAATGTAGGAAATGCAAAGACAATTTTATTAATAAAAATAGAAAATGTCATTCCCCAGGATTTTGTTTGCGTGTAGTGATAGCTGAAACATTACCAGTCCAGCATCTCATATCACAACCATTTCCCTGCCACAGCAGTGTGGACGGCACAGACTGGATTTCAACTGGCTCAGCTGTTTCGCTGGTTATAATGGAGAGTTGAGGAAATCGGAGCGGAGGGAGAAACTGGCATGCGTGCGACCATATTCCAAGTGATTATCTATCAAATATCATCTCTGATGCATTTTATACAGCACCCCTGACTGTCCAGTGCCCTGGGATATCTTTCCAATGTGAAGGGCGCTATCCAAGTGTAATTTGTTCTTTTGTTTGGGAAGCTCAATAGTGTGAACTTTCAAAAACAATTACAAATTACACATACACAGCGACTTTCACGTCGGGAGGACGTCCCAAGGCGCTGGACAGTCAGGGATTTGGACCCAAGCGAGGGGTTGGGATCAAGAGGGGTGCAGGACAGGGTGGGTCATGAGACAGGCCTTGAAGGGGGGAAAGGGAGGGAGGGAGGTGGATGGATTGTGGTAATGAGTTCCAAAGAGTGGGGGCAGAGAGGCTGAAGGCCCGACTGCCTATCGTGGGACAGGCCGGGTGGGTTACATGATGCAGGCTGGAGCCTGCTGAAACAACATACAACAGACTAGTGCTAAAATAAAAATAAAGATGTTTCAATCAGACTTTTTACCAAAAAAGATGACCAAAGCTTTCATCTCTAGGAGAAGGACAGTAACATGTCTTAACTCAATTATGATGACCTAATATATGCATGGAGAATACAGTATAGAACAAAGTTTCTCCCACAAAATATACAGTTAATTCACTTTGCAGTATATACGCTGAATCATTTTCAGGATCCAGAAACACCCTGAGGAAGATTGTTGGTCAAGTCACTGGACAAAACTCGCGTTGTGCAAGTGTCATGGAATCTTATCATTCCTCTGAACAGGTAAATGTCACCTTGGTTTAACGCAGAATCATAGAATCTTACAGCACAGAAGGAGGCCAATCGGCCCGGTGTGTCCGTGCCGGCGCTTTGAAACAGCTATCCAATTAGTCCCACTGCCCCACTCTTACCCCATAGCACTGCAATTTTTTCCAGTTTTAAGTACCTATCCAATTTCCTTTTGAAAGCTGCAACTGAATCTGCTTCCACCACCCTTTCAGGGAATGAATTCCACATTACAACAACTTTCTGTGTAAAAAAAATTCTCCCCTCTGGTTCTTTGCCAATTATCTTAAATCTGTGGCCTCTGGTTACCAACCCACTGGCCAGGAAACAGTTTTGTCCTCTTTACTCTATCACATCTCATCAAAAGGACAGCATGTCGAACAATGGAGTGCTGGTGTAATACTGCCTAGAATATGAATTCAAGTCCCATATGTGGAGCTTGAACCTATAAGCTTCTGACCCAGAGGCAAGAGCACAATCGAATGAGACAAACTGAAATTACTCCAAAAGCTGTGTATGTAATGCTTGAGCTGGAGAAGGAAATGTAGAATGCTTCAACGAACAGTTAATACTGCTTCGTCAAACAACCATGATTGAGGTTGCAGAAGGCTAGTCCACAACCCATCTGCTACCCATCCAGCTGCTCATAACGCAGACAAGAAATGTCAAGTGCTTTACATAACAAACTGGCGACGTACAGCTGTAATGCCTCCCAAATATTATTTCTGTGTTTTTCCATTCAATTCACAGCCTTATGCTGCTGAAATACCATCTGTTACTTCCCTGTGACTCCATTCGCATAATCTGGGGGCTTCTTATATACCACTATGAAGACCTATTATATTAAACAGATCCACTGAGCTCTGGGAAGGATTTGACATCAAGGTCACCAACAGTCTACTGAAGAAATGAAAACCAAAACAGACTGGTAATATTTCTGCCGTGTTTATAGTATCGTCTACAAATCCCTTTGTGCCCTACCCTCCCCACCTCTGTGAACTGCTTTCTCCCCACTCCACTACAAGCTGCTCTCACTCGGCTGGCTCCGGCCTCCTGCTTGTCCCTCGTCCCCTCCGCCATCGGTTACCGATCAGCCACTATGCCCCAAAACTATGGAACTCTCTCCCTCAATGCCGCCTTCCCTCTTTTAGACTGCAGACCTTCCTCTTCAACTATGCTTATCTCAGGCTCTGCCACAGTTAAGCGGCCAAGACACTGCCCCGCATGAAGGGCTCTGTGTAAATGCAAGTTGTTGTTATCCAATGGGTGAATGTTAAATTATTGATTCCACTGGCACACGACCAAACTCTCTTTGAACAGAGATATTATTGTACAGATCCGAAGGTTACAGATTAAAGAGTACTGCAGCAAAAAAACTTCCATTTATATAACACCTTTCATGTCGGGTAATGTGCGAGCGTACTGCTTTACAAAGGCTGGGGTCAGATACCAAGCAAGGGAGAGGGGAGGGATTACTTTAATACTAAAGTAATTAAAGGGAAGGGAAGGAAAAGGAAGGCACCACTTTAATACCAATCATTTTGTTTTTAGCTCTGATATGCTATCCTGTGTGAGGAGTGCTACATAAATGAAAGTAGTTGTTCTTGCAAATTTATTTCCACTTATAAATTGCAATCCACCAGCCTGGAAGGAACTATATATGTTGGCTGCTGTGTTTCGCCCACAAAATATACAGTTAATTCAGTATTTTGTGTGAAACACTTTGAGACATCTGACATCTAATTGAGGTATACAAGTTGCTTGATAGAATATAGTAAACTTGAAACAATACTTTCAGATACACCAAGGCAACAGGACAATAGGGCATAGGTTCTATAATAATAATCTTTACATTTGATGTAGTACCTCATCACATCGTTGAGACATCTCAAAGCGCTTCACAGAATGTACTGTAAAGACTGTATATTTTGTGGACGAAATGGAGCAGCCAATTGCACACAGCAGTGTCCCACAAACAGTCGTGGATTACTATTATTGCTATATTATTAATAATAACTAAATTATTATTATTTTTGAAGGGGTTATTACCCCTGGAAAGCAATCAGTCAATCGACTAACAACCGGGTTCCTACTTACTGGGTAAACAGGTGTGTGGATTAAGGAAACTTGCCTTAGAATTCGTCCCACCTGGCAATCGAACCTGGGTCCTCTCGCTTGTGAGGCGAGTGCTCTAACCACTGTGCTACAGGACTCCACGAATAATTAGCCACTTGGGAATGGGATTCAAGGTCTCCTTCAGGAGAGAAAATTGGATCAGGAGAGAGAAAAACAAAACGTGCCACATCAGATGTCTACTCTGCGAGACAGACTGCCCGGCTGGTAGTAGTGCTGAGCGTTTGAGACATCTGACGTGAAAAGAGTTATATAAATGTAAATTGAATTGCATGAGATTGAGAAAAACTGTCACACATCTACATATCACAAAATGCAGCACGAACACTTAGAGGGGCCAAACAGTCCTATAGACTATTGGTTAGAGCACTTGCCTTGCAAACGAAAGGACCCGGATTCGATTTCCAGGCAGGGCAAAACCTTGGGCAATAATTCATTAAAAAAATATGGTCACTCAATCCAATACTGTTTGTGGGGACGCTGCTGTGCACAATTGGTTGCCCCGTTTCGCCCATAAAATATCCAGTCAATTCACTTTACAGTATATTCTGTGAAGCGCTTTGAGACATCTCAACGATGTGATAAGACGCCATATCAATTGCAAGGTCTATTATTAAATATCTAGTTTTATTGCTAACTGTGATCTATCCCATTTAAATTGTGTTTTAATATTTTAAATCATGATGCCATGATGCCATTCCTTTCCCAAATAGCAATGTCTTTCGAACTCTCATTGAATCGTTGCCATGGGTACAGACTGCTCACAAACTATGAACATTTCATGTATTCGCCCAAAAATACAATTTCTCCATTTCAAGTAAATCATGTGAAGCGCATTGAGACATCCTTCCGACAAATGAAGGCGCTATACCAAATGCAAGGTTTATTATTATTACTATTGTGCAATTCGGACATGAAAGGGGTGATATAAATGCAATTTGTTGTTGTACTTTTGCCCTCCCACGAGAGTATTATGATTGCAAGAGTTCTGCCCCTAAGTAGCATAACATGAAACCCAGGAGACTGGAATCATAAACGTGATGAATATGGGATCAATGAAGGGAAGTGTAATTACATAATTTATAACCAGGAACATTAGCATTACAGATACGAGTCCTGTAGCCTCACAAGCGAGGGGACCCGGGTTTGATTCCCGGGCGGGCACGTTTCCTTACTCCACAAGCCTGTTTACCGAGCAGTAAGTAGGAACCCGATTGTTAGTCGCTTTCCGCCTATAATAATCCCTCAAAAAAAATTGGTCGCTCAATTGACGGCTGTTTATGGGACACTGTTGTGCGCTAATAGCTGCCACATTTCGCCCACAAAATACACAGTCACTATGCTTTAAAGTATATTCTGTGAAGTGCTTTGAGACATCTCAACGACTTGATAAGGTGCTTTATCAAATGCAAGTGTTATTAATAATAATAATAATCCTTGCATTTGATATAGCGCTTTTCACGTCGAGAGGACGTCCCATAGCGCTACACAGAACACACTGTAAAGTGAATTGACTGTATATTTGTGGGCGAACGCGGCAGCCAATTGCGCACAGCAATGGCCCACAAACAGTCGTAGATTGAAAGTGACCAATTTATTATTGTTTTTTGTTTTGGAGGGATTATTGTTAGGTGTGTGGAGTAAGGAAACTTGCCCAAGGTTTCGCCCTCTGCCTGGAACTGACCTCAGGTCTCTCACTTGCAAAGCGAGTGCTCTAACCACTGAGCTACAAGACTCCATTATGTTCTTAATAAATTGCATTTATACTGCACCTATTAGGAGGAAGTCTCAAACTTTCATTTGCTACAGCATTTCTTTTATTCCAATTTTTTACTCGTTCAGAATAAACCTGGTGCCACAACAAATGTTATAATTTTTTATTACAAAAACGTAAACATGACTAGAATTTGCAACAATGAAAGTCAAGATCTGAAAGAATTACTGACTAGTTTGCAAGCTGTTAGCGTACGTTTAGGTCTGCAGGATTCCCTAGAAAATTATGTTTTGAATAATGTACCACACAGTAATCTTCAAAATGTGCAATTGCTAGTTTTCAGGAAAGCTGAGTGAACAGGAATACCTTTGCCTAGGAGGAAACTGCAGCAAAAATATTACTCAGGTTATATTTATTAGGTTGTGAAGTCCTGTAGGGTAATGGTTGGAGAACTTACCTCGCAACAAGAGGACCCAGGTTCAATTCACAGGCAGGGTGAAACCTTAGGCAAGTTTCCTTACTCCACACTCACATCTCTCTTTACCAGCAGTTAGTAGGAACCCGGTTGTTAGTCAATTGGTGGATCACTTTTCCGGGGGCAATAATCCCTTACAAAAAATGTTGTCACTCAATCCTGTCGATTCATTTCACTGTATATTCTGTGAAGCACTTTGAGACATTGCGAAGACGCTATACTAGGATATTATTATCAAATCTAAAATGTTGCTGATTGGCAAACAATAGGATTGAAATATTTAAATACAGGTATGTGTGAATAAGAGGTTGAGTACAATTACTACTGCTGTCTATCAGCATTAGCACAAATATACTGATAGAACCTTATTAACCTTCTACATTATTATCCAGTGTCAAGATAACCTGTAATTGCACTAAAACATCAGACAGAATCTCTACACACGTTTCAGAGAGATATGATCTCTGAATCACATCCCCATGGGAAATGGGATATTCATAATGCCCCAGGCTTGACAGTTCTAATAATAATAATGATAATCCTTGCATTTGGTATAGCGCCTTATCACATTGTTTGTGACGTCTCAAAGCGCTCACAGGGTATACCATGAAGTGGATCGACTGTGTATTTTGTTGCGAGACGTGGCAGCCAACTGCATCCGTGTCCCACAAAGTCATGGAATTGACCAATTCTTTTGAGGGATTATTACTCCGGAAAGCGATCGACTAATAACCGGATTCTTACATCCTGCTAGGCAAACAGAAGTGTGTGGAGTGAGGAAACTTGCCCAATGTTTTGCTCTACGCGGAAATCAAACCCGGGACCTCTCGCTTGTGACAACTTGATACAAACATGGGCATTTATTAACCCAATTCCCGAGGAATCTGGTGACTAAACATGCAATCAGAAACTGCTAGCTATTGAAATTGGGGTTGAAATAGCTACAGCTAGTGCTATTTTGTTTACCTGTTTACCTAGCAGTAGGTAGTGACCCAGTTGTTAGTAAATTGGAGGTAATAATACCTTAAAAAAAAACTGGTTATTTATCCACGACTGTTTGTGGGACACCGCTGTGTGCAATTGGCTGCAGCTTTTTGCCCACAAATACGAGTCCACTTTACAATATAGTTTGTGAAGCGCTTTGAGACGTCTCAATGGCGCGATAAGGCGCTGTATCAAATGCAAGGGTTATTATTGTAATTGAGTGGTAACTGAAGGCTGTGTAGCCCCTCGCTGCGCAAGTCCACAGTCTTTTTGGGGGTGTCAGCCACGCGCGGAAACCCACCAGCCTGCTTCAGAGTCTCTAAACCAACAAAGAATTGCATGTAGCCCACCTACAACATGGAAATACCAGAGATAGATTGTGTGCTTTGCTGAAGAGCAGAGGACTGCACTGTTCTGTACTTACCCTTTCCGTTTTGCTATCGAATCCTGTCACCAGGACAACGCTCTTAATTTAGTCACTGAGTGGCCAGGCAGAGACATGGGAAAAGCAGCTATCTTCCGAAAATAGAAGCAGAAAAAACATCCAAGGAAACGGTACGTTCGTCAGAGAGGCAGTGGATCTCCCAAACAGTGAAGGATCCTCGTTGTTTCTTGGTCAGGAAACGGCGGAGGGTCTAATCATTGTGGCCACCCGAGAAACATCTGAATAAAACATCATTGGGGCATTGCAACAAAAACGCTGACTTTACACGAGAGATCCTTCAGTCACAACGTAAAAACGAACTCAAAACCACCAAACTAAACATTCCCCCCCCCCCACCCCTCCAAAAAAAAACAAATCCCTACCCAGACAAAGGGGTATTGGATAAACTAGATCCATTGCCACCACCAGGAAAATATTCTACATTGAAATTAAAAAAATGAATAATATCAGGGACGCAAATCAACTGGGGGGGAAAAATGGCTAATAGCTGAAGGGATAAATAACTAAAAGGAACGATGGATCTTCTTCTTCTTCTCCTTCTTCTTCTGAGCAGATGGATGATTATTGCGACTGGCGCTGCAGCGATCCACGACGTTTCATTCATAAAAAGGAAAGGATTCTGCAGCTGGAGAGAGAGAGTGAGAGAGAGAGGGGGAGGGAGGGGGCGAAGCAGTGAGAGGAGGTACCCCCCCCCCCCCCCCCCTTCCCACAGGCTTGTTCCTCTCACTCTCACCCAATCTGGAGGGGGGTGGGGGGTGGGGGCCATCTCCTCTCCCCTTTCCCATCGGCTCACCCCACACGTCCATCAGCTGGGGGTTGGGCTTGGTGGAGGCGAGGCAGTGAAGGGGGAAGTGATGAACCCTCGGGGGAAGGCGTCCAAAAAAACACAGGCACCACCACCGAGTGGTGTGTGCCATTCAAGGGGTGAGATCATCCTATTGATGAAACTGTTTATCGGTGCAACTTATTGATGCAACTGCTTCGGTCAATAGCTCAGCACAGCCTCGAGCCAAGTCCCTCCATCCCCCCCCCCCCCCCCACCACCGCCCGAAACCCAAACACACAGTGCTCTGCACTCAAATGGCTGTCAAAGATCCGAGATCCCCGGACTCCCTTCGGCAGAGGTTTAATTAACTGCGACGCTTCAGATGAATGAAGGTCTAAGCGTTTGCTGACACCTACGGAGAAGCTAAAGATTGTGGTTTAAAAAAAATTTCTCCCTCTCTCCTGACGTTCACAAAGTCCAACACAAAACATTTTCTTTCTCAAATCTCTCTCTCTATATATATAATTTATATATATATATATATATATAGACACACACACTTGACTTTTCTGCTCCTTTTTTTCTCCCCCCCCCCCATCAGGACAGAATAAATTCTTTCAGCGGTCAGTCAGGTAGTTGACTGGACTCGAACGCGTTTCTATTTTGATTGAAAGGAGAACGATTCCTGACGCAGAAAGCCTGGCACTCGGGCGTCACGCTGTTATGTAACCAGGGCAAGCTGATTCCTGGGTAACCAGCTGCGGTCTTTACATAAGAAAGATGGAAAATACAAAATACAGCCCCAACACTTTTCAGCATATCCCGTGGAAACTGTCCGAGGTGTCCTCTTTGGGGGGGCGGTCGGGTGTCCGGCACACGCAGAACCCCGACACCGTGCTTGAGAGGAACAGAAGGAGCGGAGGTTCCTGTGAAGTATGAACACGAGCATGAGCGAGTCGGGCTGAATGGCTTGTTTCTGCGCTGTGCTCTCTGTGTGTGTGTAAAAAAAAAACCCCCTCAATCTATTCCGCTTAACTTCTCGGTGGCTTGGGAAGTTCTCCCGACGTGAAAGGCGCTTCACAAATATAATGTTGCGTTGCGTTGCATCAACTTCAGCCAAAGCCCAATTTACATTCGGCTTTTCGTGTCGCTTCAACAGTGATGTTGCTTTTCGCATCTTAGTACGGATTCCGTACACTATTTTGAAGGAAATTGTGCTCGCGCGTGGCTACTGAAACCATTTCAAGCCAGAGGTTTGTCAGGAAATCAATCTGCACCATTGCAGTAAAAAGGCAGACATTGCAAATCGATTTGGTCTCTGCGCAAAAATGGTCCCTTAAAAGTTCAATACTACGCTAACTCCCTGGTCACCAGAATTCCCAACTCTTCCCTCCACAAGGTGCAGATTATTCAAACCTTTGCAGTTCGCATCCTCTCTCACACCAAGTTCTGTGACCCTATCACTACCACCCTTGCCCAGATCCACTGGATCCCCATCCACCAGAGCATAGAGTTCAAGATCCTGGTCTTCGCTTGTAAAGCCCTGAAAGATCTTTCTCCTCCCTACCTTTGCAGTCTACCATACCAACCTGCCCACTCCCTCTGCTCAGCGTTTCCTGGGAAATTAAGACCACTGTCCATTCAGATTCTATGTCAAGAGGTCAACCTTTGAATATCTAGAGAGGGATGTTTATTTCCGCAATGAGTTTGTAAGCAAACTGAAGCCTGGAAGCCACTCAGTTTTGCCCACAAAATGTAGTCAATTCACTTTACAGTATATTCTGTGAAGTGCGTTGAGATGTCTTGAAGATGTGATAAGGCGCTAAATCAAATGCAAGGATTATTATTACTATCCCCTGAAGAGGGACTCAGTCCAGGTAACTAGAAAGGAAAGGAGAGCAATCAGGCAAAAGTAGAGGGCCTTTAAAGTGGGACAGGAAACTTCCTTAGGGCAGGAAAAAAGGCGGTGTGGCTTTGTATGAGATGTTATACACTGCTCCTTGAGCATGTCTTATGGGTGGTCATAAGCAAGAGTCTGGAGCAGAGTTCCTGGAACAATTTATCAAGCATTTTTGGACGATCTACACCTTGTGTTGTAAGGCATGAATTTCCTCATCAGTTATCTGTTTCTTTTGACTGTAAGTGGGCACAGCTCTTGGAGACCCAGCATGAAAGGAAACAACAAGCTGCTGCCCCACATTTATAATAATACTTGCATTTGACATAACGCCCTATCACATCATTGAGATGTCTTAAAGCGCTTCACAGAATATATTGTAAAGTGGATTTTGAGGGTGAACTGCGGCAGCCAATTGCGCACAGCAGTGTCCCACAAACAGTTGTGTATTGAGTGACCACACATTTTTAAAGGTATTAAACAGAGGTGTGTAGAGTAAGGAAACCTGCTTGATGAATGATAAATTTATCTAGATAGCTACAGACATGCTGTTATGTGGATATCCAGAAATGATGGAGAAGTATCAAAAGCCAAGTAACCCTTTTTCCATTGACCCCGTGTCCTATACCTCTAAGTTATTAAAAAGTTATTCAATTGGTAGTTTAATTCTATTCTGTAGTCTGACGTCCACTGAGATCAGTAGACATTAAGTTCAGTAAAGCTCAAGAGAAAACCTTTTGTCAGATGTGAAAGTTCAAATATAACCCACAGATGTAAAGCCAATTGAGGATGCTTATGTATAAAATGGATTCCTGTAGTTAGAGCACTCGTCTCACAAGCGAGAGGACCTAGGTTCCATTCCTGGAAGGGTCGAAACCTTAGCAAGTTTCCTTACTCCACAAGCCTCTGTTTACTTAGCAATAAGTAGGAACCCAGTTGTTAGTCGAATGATGAATCGCTTTCCGGGAGTAATAATTTGGTCATTCAATACACTTGTGGGACACTGCTGTGCACAATTGGCTGCCTCGTTTTTCCCGCAAAATATAGTTAATCCACTTTACAAAATATTCTGTGAACCACTTTGAGACACCTCAAAGACATGATAAGGTGCTGTATCAAATGCAAGGATTATTATGATTACACTCAATTCCCAGTGGGAGAGCAATATGCAGCCATGAAGATTCACTGAAGAATACGTCTCTGGCCCCATTGAGCTACCAGAAAAACAAAGCAAACTGAAAAATGTCACTAAACTGCAAAAGGATTACGTTTGAATGGAGGATGTTTCAGCCTTGAGCAGGGATATATGCAGAATTATTGATTCTCCAATAAGCAGCTTACAACAGCCCTTGGGAACAGCTTGAAAAACATTCAGATCACAACACAATTAACAGAGAAACTCATCGCCATCAGCAATTAACAGATCAACATCCATGATTTCAGGAACAATCTATGGAAATTAATTAGACTTTGAAAATAAAACAGTCATTCATACATTGATCTCCAAAGTGATTCAAATAATAATAATAGCATTTGATAGAGACAAATAATAATAATAGCATTTGATTTGAGACATCTCAATGAGCTTCACAGATTGTACTGTAAACTGAACTGACTATATTTTGTGGGTAAAAGTCAGCAGCCATTGAATACAACAGTAGTTGTGGATTGAGTGACCAAATGGTTATTATTTTTAAATTTATTTATTTATGAAGAGATTATTACCCCCGTAAGAGCGATTCGTCAATCAATCGACTAACAATTGGGATACTATTTGCTGCTAGGTAAACAGAGGCGTGTTGAGTAAGGAAACTTGCCTAACATTTTTCACACAAAGAAGGGGAAGTTGTCAAATATTTCTTTACATAGAGTTGTGGCAATATGGAATACTCCGTCACAAATTGCAGTCTGAAGCCGAGCCCATAACTTATTTTGAAAGGGAATTTGATGGTTGTTTGGTGAGGAGGAATATTAAAGGACGTGGGAAGTGAACAGGAGAGTAGGATTAAATTGAGCAGTTACTGTAATCATTCCTGCTTATTATCCTGTGCCCACATCAAGAGTTCCTAGCGTAGTGGTTAACATGCTCGCCTCACAAGCGAGAGAACCCTGGTTCGATTTCCGGGAGAAACCTTAGGCAAGTTAACTTTCTCCACACAAACGGCTCTGTTTACCTAGCAGTAAATAGGAAACCTAAATAGGAAAAGTAATAAAGAGGAATAAAGAGGAATAATAATAATCCTTATTATATATAATAATAATATGGAGTCCATATTAGATTGTGGAGTCCTGTAGCTCAGTGGTTAGAGCACTCGTTTTGCAAGCGAGAGACCTGAGTTCAATTCCAGGCAGGAAACCTTGGGCAAGTTTCCTTACTCCACACGTCTAATAATAATCCCTCCAAAAAAACAAAACAATAATAAATTGGTCATTTTCAATCTAACGACTGTTTGTGGGACATTGCTGTGTGCAATTGGCTGCCGCGTTCGCCCACAAATATACAGTCAATTCACTTTACAGTGTGTTCTGTGAAGCGCTTTGGGACGTCCTCCCGATGTGAAAAGCGCTATATCAAATGCAAGGACTATTATTATTATTATATAAGAGTTACAGTGAGAAAGATCCAAGTTGACGTTAAATTGTTTAAAAATTATATTATTAGTAAACTCCACCT